TGCGTGTCTACTACGGGATTGATCAAGTGTGTCCGGCGGATATGAACTTTGATGGTTCGCACAACTACTTAGACATCGCGTTGTTCTTGAAGCTCGTCGGCGAGGGACGCGAGGCGGCGGATCTGAATCGCGATGGAGTGTTCGGATTTGAAGATGTGAACACATTTCTCGATGCGTTTATGAATGGGTGCGCTACAGCGCCCTAAAGACAGATCCGAAACGGCTTAACATAGTATTTTTATGTTTCGTTTGTAGGTCACCCTACCTACAGGACTGGTTGTTTCACCTATTCTGGGCGTGTATTCCGATCATTCTCATCTGTTCTTGCAGCGTGTAGAGCATGTCCTGTACAGTGTTGGTGGGACTCAACACTTTTCAGAACGGATTTGGACTAGATGATTGGTACTCCGCGAATGATACGGCCGGAAGATTTTTCTTTGATCGAGCAGATTCCTGAGATCTCAGGTGTCGCGAGAGATGAGCATGGTCGCATCATTTGGCACACTGCTCTCTTTGAGCAGTATGCGAGAGAGTTGCGCCCTGTCGGTAAGATGCTTGGTCGTACTTTGCATCAAGCGATTCCTGAGCCGGCGGCTGACGAACGGGTGGCGGTGTATCGAGAAGTCATGGAGAATGTTGAGATCAGGAACTTCTACCAACTGAGCCGGGATTATCGAGAGTTGGTGACTGTCTTTCCATTGGACGAGGACGCGTTTGGTCATCAAGGGATTATGGGTTTGGTGAAAGTATCACCTCACCCTTTGCAGTCGTCTGGGTTCACTCATATCCCTGTGCTGTCCACCCCGAATCTGGTGAAACTCAACGCGCTTTCTATTCGCGAGCTTGAAGTGTTGCACTATGTTGCGACTGGAATGTCCACCCGTGAGGTAGCGCATGAGATCTGTCGCGCGGACAAAACTGTTGAGCATCACATCAACTCGATCCACTCCAAGCTTGGGACCACCAGCCGACCACAGCTTGTGAGCTGGGCATCGGAGCGTGGAATCCAATCCTTTACGAGTCATGAATGGGGCTTGATTGTGAAAGGCGCTCAGATTGTTCGGAAGAGTATGAAGAATTCTTGTTGCGCCTAGTTCCGGATCCTGGCATTCTCGATGCGCCCAGCGAGCTGTGATTCGGTTGTGCAGGAATTGATTTATCCGTCATAGTACCCAATTTCAATCTCGAAACGATCGCCTAGGCAAAAAGTACTATCTATAAGGGATGTGCTCGTTTATACTCAAATACCTTCGTATCTCTGTAACTCACTGGGGACAGCATGGCGTATGACACAAGAAGGATTCGGCCGGACGACTTTGAGGTGTTTGCTCAGGTTCCGGGGATCGCTTGTGTCGCGCGTGATGAGGAGTTGCGTCTGTTCTGGTGCTCTCCATCGTTCTATCGGATCGCGGGGAAGGTTGAACACGCAAATCAGATGATCGGAACTACGCTCAGTGATGTGCTTCCTCCTTCGGCGGCTAAGGAACGCGGGAAGGTGCAGCGGCGCGTGATTGAGACTGGAGAGGTGACGAGTCATTATCAGTTCAGTGCCGACTCTCGTGTGATGTGCACCATCTTTCCGCTCGATGAAGCCGCTTTCGGTCATCGTGGTATCTTCGCGGTGATGAAAGATTCACCTGTTGATGAACGGCTCGGACTCGATCGCGAGCTTCCGGTTCTTTCAACACCAAATCTGTACGAGCTCAACGCGCTGTCTCCTCGCGAGCTTGAGGTGTTGCATCATGTCGCGGTGGGTCTTGCTACGCAAGAAATCGCAGAGAAACTGTTTCGGGCACACAAGACTGTGGAGCATCACATCAACTCGATCCATAGCAAACTCGGGACTCATAGCCGAGCACAGCTTGTTCGCTGGACCACTGAACGAGGGATTCAGTCCTTTTCCACTGAGGAATGGATGTCGATTCTCGAGGGTGCAGATGGTTTACGAAAAGAAGTTGTCCCAAGTGATGGTGAATCTGTAGAATAATAATAGGTATAACTCTCTATCAATCGTGCGTCCAGAGCGGGTCACGAGCGAAGATTGGTATTCACCGATTTGTCACCAGTGTGCACGGGGACGCGTATGGATATTCAACAGCGACCAGTTCGCCCGGACGATCTTGGTTTGTTCGCACAGATTCCTGGAGTGCTCGGCGTGGCGCGGGATGAGGATCTGCGTGTGATTTGGTGCACGGCTTCGTACTGCCGAATAGCAGGGAGCAACAAGACTGTTGAGGACATGATTGGCACAACAGTTGAGGACATGGTCCCGGCTGGAGCCGTGAACGATCGGATCAAAGTGCATCGTGAGGTGATGGACAGCGGGATGGTGCAAAGTCACTTCCGCTTGATGAATGACACGCGTGTGATCTCGACGGTGTATCCACTCGATGAGCAGGCGTTTGGTCACAAGGGTGTATTTATCCTGGTGCAGGATGCCTCGGTGCACTCCAAATTTTTGGAGGGGTATGACATCCCGATCATCAAGAGCTCGAATCTCTACAAGCTTGAGCCTTTGACAACTCGTGAGCTTGAGGTGTTGCATCTGGTCGCGAGCGGACTCTCGACACGAGAGATCGCGGAGCGATTGAGTCGCGCCGAGAAAACGGTCGAGCATCACATCAACTCGATTCATACAAAGCTTGAGACGAAGAGCCGAGCACAGCTTGTTCGATGGGCATCGGAACGCGGGATTCAGTCGTTCACGGATCAGGAATGGAGCGAGTTGGTTTCTGGTGTTCAACGGCTACGATGTGGCACAAGCGATCTCTGACTCGGTCAGGTCTTGGCTGACTTGCTGATCCTTAATATTTCCTTTACACTATCTGAATGATTTCGGCATGGACGCTTTGTGAAACCGGTGCTCTGGTCGGCGCGATCGACTGGAGTGTGAGTATGGATGAGAAGATCTCGGTGTTGCTGCGCTTGCTGCTCGCGGCGGTCTTTGGGGGACTGCTCGGTTGGGAGCGCGGGCGCGCGGATAAACCTGCAGATATCCGAACGATGATCCTCATCGGCGCCGGCGCGTCGATGTTTGCGATGCTTGGCCAGCAGTTGATCAATGTTGGAGGCGACGAGGCGATCATCCGCGCTGATCCGACGCGCGTGCTCTCGTACATCATCTCGGGCGTCGGCTTTCTTGGAGCTGGCGCGATCTTGCACTCGAAGCGTTCGATCATTGGATTGACCACAGCGGCGTCGATCTGGGTCGTCGCGGCGATCGGCGCGGCGTGTGGGGTTGGGGAGTTTTTGATCGCGTTCTTCTTGTTCGCGATCGCGTTCATCACGCTCTGGACGCCTTGGGTAGTGGCGCTCGCGGATGGGACGGTGGATGAAGAAAACGGGAACGGGAACGGCAATGGGAATGGGCCGCACACGCTTGAATGAGTGTTACACGCCTCGATCTGCGGAACCCAGTGATTCGAGTTCGTCTTTGTAGCGTTCCTTGAGGGGCTCGACGACTTCGGTGATGAAGCGTTCGGTTTGTTCAACGCTGCGTCCGATGAAGTTCATGGGGTTGAGGATCTGGTCTTCCGTGAGCATGTGGTGGATCGGCGCGAAGTCGGGGTCGGCTTTGAGTCGGTCGATGAGATCGTTGTCGAGTCCCTCTTGCTTGACACGGTGTCCGGCGGCTTGTGAGTGGACGCGGATTTTTTCGTGGAGGTCTTGGCGATCGCCTCCGGCTTTGACGGCTTCCATGAGGATGTTTTCGGTCGCCATGAACGGGAGTTCGAGCATGAGGTTTTTGCGGACCATTGCTTCGTTGACGACGAGTCCGGACGCGACGGTGTGCATGAGGTCGAGCGCGCCGTCGAGGGCGAGGAAGGCTTCGGGGAGCGAGAGGCGTCGGTTACTCGAATCATCGAGTGTGCGTTCGAGCCACTGGGTGGCGGCGGTGTCGTAGGCGTTCCCGACGAGGTTCATGACGAAGCGGGTGAGGCCGCAGATGCGCTCGCATTTCATGGGGTTGCGTTTGTAGGGCATCGCGGAGGAACCGATCTGGTTTTTGCCGAAGGGTTCGTCGATTTCTTTTCGGTTGGAGAGGAGGCGGATGTCGGTGGCGACTTTGTGGAGGACGGAGGCGATGGAGGCGAGGTCGGCGAGAACAAAGGTGTCGTACACACGGGGATAAGTTTGGCCTGCTATGTCAACTGAGCGTTCTGAGTTTGTTCCTCGCTCAATAAACCCACCAAACTCATTGAGTGTGCGACGAACACTCTTTGGATGACACAAGGATGAGATTTGTGAAACGACTTGATCCTCAAAGAGACCAACGGCTGTTTCATCTCCACCAAACAGCGCCAAGAACGATGCTTGAGTGCCGGTTGCTCCTTTCATCCCCTTTGGAAACAAGGAAAACATACGATTCCCAAACTCAGTGCGAGCCAAGTATAGATCGTATGCCCAGCCCGCAACTCGGCGACCAACACTTAGAGGTTGAGCCGGTTGGTAATGGGTAAAGCCAAGTGTTGGGAGTTCTGAATACTGTTTCGCTGTATCACCAAACGCCGCAATGACACGGACAAGTTTTTGATTGAGCAGGTGAAAGGCGTTCATCATGACCACATAGTCGGCATTGCACACAACATCCTGACTTGTACAGCCAAGGTGAATGATGGATCGTGCGGTTGGACATTGATCACCAAGACAATGAACATGAGCCATAACATCGTGACGGAGTTCACGCTCGTACTTAGCTGCAAGATCAAACTCGGCGTCGGTGATCTCTCTCGCAGCGACTTCTGAGAGTTCTTTCACCTGATCATTTGTCACCAATGTCGGAAATTTATCCTTGCCCACATATGAATCGCTCATTCGGTATTGGGCTTGTGCGACGGCGAGCCAGATCTTGCGCCAGGTGGTGAACTTGTGGCGCGGGGACCAGACTTTGCACATCTCGGGGGATGCGTTTCGCGCGGCGAGGGGGGAGGTGTAGGTGTCGTGGGGGCTGGTCGCTTGGCTCATGCGAGACTGTAGGTGGGCTCGCTTGGGATGGTTTGTCAGTTCGCGACGATGTTGACGAGGCGGCCTGGGACGACGATGACTTTGCGGATCTGCTTGCCTTCGAGGAAGGCAACGATCTTCTCGTCGGCGAGGGCGGCTTCTTCCATCGATTTGTTGTCCGCGTCCTTGGGCATCGTGATCTTGGAGCGGAGCTTGCCCATCACCTGTACGGGGATGGTGATCTCGTCGTCGACAAGCATGGACTCTTCGTAGGTTGGCCAATCGGCGTGGGCGACGGAGGGGGGATTGTCGAGCTTGGACCAGAGTTCCTCGGCGAGGTGGGGCGTGAAGGGCGCAAGGACGCGCGTGAAGCGGTCGAGCTGGTCGCGGGTCAAGGACTTGCTTGCGTTGACGAACTCGAAGATCGCGGCGATCGCGGTGTTGAAGGACAGCTTCTCGATATCCGCGCCGGCTTTGGCGATGAGGCGGTGGAGTTGTTTCTCCGTCGCTTCATCGGAGCTGTCAGTGATCGCGATCGATCCATCGTCGTTGGTGCAGAGGCGCCAGATTTTTTGGAGCAATCGGTGGAGTCCCACGATGTCTCGCGTATTCCAGGGCTTGCTCGCTTCGAGGGGTCCCATGTACATCTCGTAGAGGCGGAAGGTGTCGGCGCCGTAGTCGGCGATCACATCGTCGGGGTTGACGACGTTTTTGAGGGACTTGGACATCTTGGCGATGATGCGCTCGACTGGGGCGTTGGTCGCGGTCTCGATATAAGTTGGGTCGGCTTCTGTGCCTTGGTTGACGACCTCGTCGATGGGGACGAGTGATTTGTCGGCGCGTTGGTACGCCATGGAGGTGATCATGCCTTGGTGGAAGAGTTTGCGGAAGGGTTCGTCGGATTTGATAAATCCGAGGTCGTGCATGCACATGTGCCAGAAGCGGGCGTAGAGGAGGTGGAGGACGGCGTGTTCGTTGCCTCCGATGTAGAGGTCTACGCCGGAGTCTCCGAGCCAGTAGTCTTGCGCTTCGTCTCCGATGAGCTTGGAGTCGTTTTTGTTATCGCAATAGCGCAGGTAGTACCAGCAGGAGCCGGCCCATCCGGGCATGGTGTTGGTTTCGCGTTTGAGTGGTTTGTCATCGTCGAATCCGTCAACACCCCCCACTTCTCCGGCGGTGACATTGACCCAATCCTCGGCTTTGGCGAGCAGCGGTTGCGGGTCTTCGGATTCCACGGGCGCATAGTCGGCGAGCGGCGGGAGCGTGACGGGGAGCTGCGACTCGTCGATTGGGTAGTGGTTCTGCCATTCGTCGAAGACGATGGGGAAGGGTTCTCCCCAGTAGCGTTGTCTGGAGAACAACCAATCGCGGAGTTTGTAGTTGACCTTTGGCGCGCCGGCTTTGTGTTTGGTGAGCCAATCGATGATGGTGGATTTGGCTTCTTCGATCTCGAGTCCGTTGAGGAAATCGGAGTTGATCGCGGGTCCGGTGCCTGTGAACGCTTCGCCTTCGAAGTCTTCTGGGGGCTGGACGGTGCGGACGATCGGGAGGTTGAACTCGGTCGCGAAGTCCCAGTCGCGTTGGTCTTGTGCGGGGACGGCCATGATCGCGCCGGTGCCGTAGCCCATGAGGACATAGTCGGAGGTCCAGACAGGGATCTCTTTGCCGGTGACTGGGTTTTTGACTTTGATGCCCAGATCTACGCCTGATTTTTCTTTGTTCTCTTGGCGCTCGATGTCGGAGCGATCGCGCGCCCACTCGACGTAGTCGTTGAGTTTTTTGAGATCGAGCGTCGGCGGTGCGAAGTCCGCGGCGAGTTCGACGAGGGGGTGCTCTGGAGCGACGACCATGTAGGTCGCGCCGAAGATGGTGTCTGGACGCGTGGTGAAGACGCGGAGTGCTTCTCCGATTTCGGCGCCGTCGGGTCCGAGGATGGGGAAGTCGATTTCAGCTCCGACGGACTTCCCGATCCACTCGGCTTGCTGGGTTTTGGTGGAGGTTGGCCAATCGAGATCGGTCAATCCGTTGAGTAAGCGGTCCGCGTATGCGGTGATGCGGAACATCCACTGGCGGAGCGGCTTGCGGTGGACCGGGAATCCGCCTCGTTCGGACTTGCCGTCGATGACTTCTTCGTTTGCGAGCGCGGTCCCGAGCTTGGGGCACCAGTTGACGGTCTGTTCGCTCAGGTATGCGAGTCGGTAGGAATCGATGATTGCTTTTTTGGTTTCGCGATCGAGGGTGGACCAGTCTCCCGCGTCGGTGCCGTCGGGGAGGTCTCCGGCGCCGGTGTATTCCGCGGCGTCTGGGTTGAGCTTCGCTTTGCGCGCGCCGGACTCGAGATCGGCGATGAGCTCGCTGATTGGCCGTGCTTGACCACGACCATTGTCGGCCTCGACATCGAACCACGAGTTGTAGATCTTCAGGAAGATCCATTGTGTCCATTTGTAGTATTCGGGATCGATGGTCCCGAACTCGCGGGACCAGTCGTAGCAGAATCCGAAGCGTTTGAGCTGACGACGGAAGTTGTCGATCGCTTGTTTGGTGGTGATTTCTGGGTGGACTCCGGTCTGGATCGCGTACTGCTCTGCGGGGAGTCCGAACGCGTCCCATCCCATTGGGTGGAGGACGTTGTGGCCTGTCATCTTTTTGTAGCGGCAGATGATGTCCGTCGCGGTGTACCCCTCAGGGTGTCCGACATGGAGTCCGGCGCCGGAAGGGTACGGAAACATGTCGAGGCAGTAGTACTTGGGTTTAGACGCGTCGAAATCGGGGTCGCCGGGGTTGGGGGCTTTGTTGGTCTGATGCTCGTCCCAGTAGGACTGCCAACGCGTCTCGATGTCGGCGGCGAGGGTCGCGTCGTAGCGGATAGCGGTCTGGGATTGATCATCTGCTGGCATAGGAACTGAGTTTAGCACATGGAAACGGGGAATACCCTCGTTTTGAGGGTTGGATCGGGTATGGTTTGGGTATGTGCGGACGATTTGCGCAGGTGTTTGAGGACAAGGACGTGTCGAGGATCGAGGAGATCCTACGGGCGTCGCTGCGGATCTCGGATGATGCGGCGGATCTGCTACTCGATTCGTTCAATATCGCGCCGTCGCAGGATGCGCTGGTGTTTGAAGCTGGGGAAGATGCGACGGGGATGGCGCGAGCGAAGTTTGGCTTGACCCCATCATGGGCGAAGGACGCGTCGATCTCGGCGAAGATGATCAACGCTCGCAGCGAGACAGTCCATGAGAAGCCGGCGTATCGAGGACTGGTCGATCGTCGAAGGTGCGTGGTCCCGATGAGTGGGTTCTATGAGTGGGAGGATTTGGGATCGAAGAAGGGGAAGCAGCCTTGGTTCTTGTCGAGATCGGATGGGGATGTGTTGATGCTCGCGGGATTGTGGGATCGGTGGGATGAGGGACACGGGAAGGAAGGATCAGTGGATTCATTCACGCTGCTGACGACGCAGGCGCGTGGGATGCTTGCGGAGCTGCATCATCGGATGCCTGTCGTGGTGGATTCTGACGCGGCGAACGGATGGTTGGGGATGAGCGTTGGTGTGGATGAGTTGCTCTCGATGCTCGATGCGGATGCGCTGCGCGGGTATCGCGTTGGGAAGCGTGTGAACTCTCCAAACAATAACGACGCGGCGCTGCTTGATGAGGTTCGTGAGGGGGAAATCGAGCGGGACGGGACGCTCTGGGGTGGGTGAGTTAGAGCTTGTTGAGGATGTCTTTGTATTGGGTTGCTTTGGTGTCGTAGCCGGCGTTTGGTTCTGATTGATCCCATGATTGATACAGATCAACAAGCAGGCGCAACGCGAGTGCGGTGACCCCTTCGTCGCGTGGATCGAGGAGCTGGCTCGATTCGTAGCACTGGAGCGCGAGCGACTCAGCGTCCTGGTATCGCTGTTGATTGAGATACATCCAGCAGAGGTTCGCCATGAGTATGAGGTCGTTGTTGTGGGGATCGTCGTCGGATCGAGCGAATCCATCGATCGATGCTTTGTAGGCGATCTCTGCGTCGTTGTAGCGTTGCAGGTCGTTGAGTGCCGCGGCGTATTCTCCGAGCATGTAGAGGGTGTTGTATGCAAGATCACCTTTGGTTGAGCTGTTCCGCGCGATTGCTTCTTCGTAGTATGGGATGGACTCCTCTGTTCGATGGAGTTTGTGCAGTTGCTGTGCGACAAGGGAGATGGCGTAGATGGTTTCTTCGTGGTCGTCACCTTGCGCGCGTCGGCGTCCATCGAGACACGACATGATCGCGCTGAGTGCTTCTTCGAATCGTCCCTGCTTATTGAGTGTAAGATAGAGCGCGTACATCGCGTGGAGCGTGTGGGGGTGGTCTGGTTTGAGATACTGTTTCCCAGACTCTATGGCGTAGAGCGCCAGTGCTTCGGCGCTTCGGAGTGTGCCGTCTTGGGTCAGCATGATCGAGTATGACCCCACGGCGTACGGGACTCGATCACGGATCAATGGCGATGCGATGTATGGCTCAGCGGTCTCTCTAAGGAGATTAAGTGCCTGCTCGGTTTGTCCTGTTGCAACAAATGACTCGGTATCCAGGACGATCTGATTGACGACATGAAGGATCTCGTCTCGGCTTTCGCCTTGTTTGCGCGCCAGACGCAGCATGTCGAGAGTCATGTTGTCGAAGCGTGCGACAATCTCGCCGTTGCGGAGCGCGTCGAACATGGAGGCGTCCGCGAGTGTGCGGATGGTGAGTGGATGGTTCTCTCCAAGGGATGCTTTGCGGATGTCCAGCACGCGAAGGGTGTTCTGGTGCGCTTCGTCGTACTTCTCGGTATGCATGAGCGTGAACGCGAGGTCTTCGAGGATCGTCGCGGTCAGGAGGGTTTGTGTGCCTTGGATGTCTTGCCAGAGTTCTAACGATCTGCGCAGGTGGCGTTCGCTCTCGTCGTAGTACCCCAGACTCCTGAATGTATGACCGATGGTTTTGCGGAGCGCGGCTTCCACCTTTGGGACTTGGGGTGGATTCTCGTCCAGTTGCTTCGCGGCGGTCATAAGAATATCGCGCACGAGCACATTGCGGCCTTCGCGCTCAGGAACAACAGCGCCGAGGAGTTGATCGTTGATGAATGTGTTGATGCTATGAGCGACAGCGCGTTCGCTTTCCGCTTCGAGAGCACGCTGCTCGGCTTCGGATTTGGCATTCTGCTCGGCTTCGAGAGCGCTCTTGGTTAAATCCACCGCGATTGATGGGAGCACAGCGGAGAACTCGTCGCTGGCTTGTTGTTGATCTACTCCAGCGCGGATTTTAGGCTTGATGGCGAGCGTTCCGTCTTCGTGTGCCTGAAGCGAAAAGTATTGGGTAGGGCCGCCGTTTGGTGATTCGATGAAGACACTCGTCGATTCGTTTGGTTGTAGGTTATATTGATCGAATACTCCGGAGACGACGAGGAGTTCTTCGATCGCTTTCTTCGCGTTCTGATTCTGATCGCGCAGGACCTGGTTTGCTTGGAGGGTCTTAGCGCGTTGAGCGTTCGCTTGCATGAATCCGAAGGTTGTCCCCGCGAGTCCGAGGATGAGGACGGCGAGGATCGCGGCTCCGCTTGCGACGAATGCTTTGTTGCGCTTGGAGTACTTCCTGATTTGATACCAGGTACTGGGAGGACGCGCCGAGATTGGTTCGTCGTCGAGGTAGTGCTGGAGTTCTTCGGCGAGCGCGATCGGGGTTGGGTATCTGCGATCTCGATCTTTCTCCAAACACTTCATCACCACCCAATCGAGCTCCCCTTTGAGTTGTTTGGGGAGTTCACGGACATTGATCAAGCGATTCTTTGCTGATGTGCTCGCGGATGCGGTCTTCTCTGATTGATTGAGCTCGGAGAGGAATCGCGTGCTCGGCTTGGGGGGATTCTTCTCGCAAATATAACGCTGGATATCGACATAGACCTTCGTTCGTAGTTCCTCCGGCTCAAATGGAAGGAGTCCGGTGAGGAGTTCGTAGAGCACGACGCCGAGCGAGTAGACATCGGTGCGGGTATCGATATCGAGTCCTGAGTTCCCAGCTTGTTCAGGACTCATGTACTCGGGAGTCCCGACCATCTGCCCTTCGGTGGTGTGGAGCGTTGAATCGGCCAGTTGATCGTTGAGTGCTTTGGCGACTCCGAAATCGATGACGGTCGGATGTGGATGGCCTTGCGAATCCTTTGCAACCAGTATATTGGATGGCTTGAGATCGCGATGGAGCACTGACTTGGTGTGCGCGTGCTGGATCGCTTGGCAGACTGGGATGAGCAGTCTGAGTCGATCGTCTATGGAGAGTTGTTGGAGATCGCAGTACTCGGTGATGGGCATCCCATGCACCATCTCCATCACGAAGTAGGGGAGGCCTCGTTCGGTGATCCCGCCATCGAGGACTTTCGCGATGTTTGGGTGGGACATCAGCGCGAGTGCTTGTCGCTCGGCTTGGAATCGAGCGATGACCTTTTTCGAGTCCATGCCGGGCTTGATGACTTTGAGAGCGACGCGTCGTTTGACGGGGTGTTCTTGCTGCGCTTCGTAGACGATCCCGAATCCACCCTCTCCGAGCTTGTTGAGGATTTTGTAGGGTCCGATCTGATCGGGGGTTTGGAATGGATGCTGATCGAGCGGTTCGTGATCGTCGCCGTAGGACATATCTCTGGTTTCGAACTCGCTCATGGATGCATAATAGAAGGGTGAGTTCAGAATGAAGGGCCTAGAATCACGCTGATCGCCGGATGAGCGATTACAAGTGATGAAATCAACCCGCTTTACCGCACCAGAACACTGCTTGGCGAGGAGACCAGGATGACAACCGCGACGCTCGAACGGAACTTGACGATTGATGTGGCTTCTGTCCTTGAGGATGATGCGCTGCTGAACTTCGATTCTCCGGCGATCTCCAAGGATCGACTGAACCTGCCTGGTGGTGACTTCATCGATCGCGTGATGGCGATGAGTGATCGCAATCAGAATGTGCTCAACAACTACAACCGAATCCTCAACACCGGACGGCTCGCGGGAACAGGGTACACCTCGATCCTTCCTGTTGACCAGGGCATCGAGCATAGCGCGGGCGCCTCGTTCGCTCCGAATCCGGATTACTTTGATCCAGCGAACATCATCGAGCTCGCGATCGAGGGTGGCTGCAACGCGGTCGCTTCGACTTTCGGCGTCCTCGGCGCGACGGCTCGCAAGTACGCGCACAAAATCCCGTACCTCGTTAAGTTCAATCACAACGAGCTGATGACCTACCCCAACACTTTCAACCAGATCCCATTCGGCACGATCAAGCAGTGCTGGGAGATGGGCGCCGCTGCTGTTGGTGCAACGATCTACTTTGGTTCTGAAGAATCCAACGATCAGATCCAGTATGTCGCGGACATGTTCGCGGAAGCACACGACTACGGCATGGTCACTGTGCTCTGGTGCTACATGCGCAACAACTCGTTCAAGGTCAACGGCGTGGACTACCACGCGGCATCCGACCTGACCGCACAAGCGAACCACCTCGGCGTCACGATCCAAGCGGACATCATCAAGCAGAAGCTCCCCACCAACAACGGCGGATACAAAGCACTCAACACGGGTGATTCGTCGTACGGCAAGTTCGACACTTCGATCTACACAAAGCTCAACTCCAGCGATGAAAACGGCAACGGCGGTCATCCGATCGATCTATGCCGATACCAGGTCGCGAACTGCTACATGGGGCGCATGCCTCTGATCAACTCCGGCGGCGCTTCGAGCGGTGCGGGCGATCTGAAGGAAGCGGTCACGACCGCGGTCATTAACAAGCGTGCAGGAGGCATGGGCTTGATCTCAGGGCGCAAGGCGTTCCAGCGTCCGATGGGTGAGGGTGCGGCGCTGCTGCATGCGATTCAGGATGTGTATCTCGATGAGAGCGTGACGATCGCGTAAACGAGATTCTGTGCGTTTTTATTGGCTCTTTGCTCGTTATGGGTCATATTGAACTCGGAGGGTGTGTTCTGCCCTCATCTTTTTGGAGAGGGTTCTATGCGTACACAGGGATTGGTAGCAGCCGCTGGATGCGGGTTCTTTGTTTCGTTGTCTGCGGCTGGAATACCGGTCTACACAGATGAGGCAACTTTTCTCGGAGACCTGATCTCTCCTGCGGTAACGGAGGGGTACGAGAGCTATGCGGACGATCTTGCTGATGGAGCTCGAACGGTTGAGCTCGATTACTTTGACATGAGCTATGACGGGGTCTCGACTTTTGGAGTTGGCTCTGAGGTGGACATCCCCAACGGTGTTGAGCCGATTGAGGGTGATAAGCATGTGCGTGTCAACTATGGCGGCGGAGCTCAAGTCTCGATCACCTTCGAGTTTGAGACTGCGGTTGAAGCGTTTGGAACGTACTACTCGGATCTTGAACTGAATTCACTAAATGTGATGGTCCATTTGGATAATGGGCAAACGTTCAATGCAGGGAACTTGGATACAACCGGGAATGGTCAGCTTGGATACTTCGGTATTCAGCCGATTCTGGTTGGGATCGAATCCGTTACATTTACAATGAGTGCTCAGACTGGCTTGGATGGCGTGTTCTTTGATCAGACAACGGTATCTGTCCCATCTCCGGCTGCGTTATCTCTGCTCGCACTTGCCGGTGTGGGGTCGGTTCGCAGGAAGCGGTAAGAATCAGTCGTTGAAGATTTCTTTGAGGGGAGCATCAAATGCTCCACTTTTTAACTGGGGATGAGTATGAAAGCGACGATTGCGCAGGTCTCACGGATTCTTCTGGATCGAGACGCGACTATAGCGAAGTCGATTGATGCGATTCAGGATGTGTAGCTGGATGAGAGCGTGACGGTCCCTTGAATCTGGTTATATCTTGATTTTCATAGCCCTGTGAAAACGGGTTTTTTCATGGCATAGCGTGGTCGGGGACCGTGCCGTTGACAACATACCTCTTGAGTTCAGCGAGTGTCCAATTGTCGAGTTGAAAGTCGAGGTTGCCTGTATATATACGGTCAGCCCAGAGCCCGCCGAAGGAGTATTGAGCGTTGCCTTTTATGGGTTGGATGCGGACGATGAGGGTGTAATCGTCTTTCATTCCTGAAGGGAAGAAGTATGTTGGCTTGACTTCTCCTGGGAGGAATGTGCTTTGCTCTGGTCGTGCGGTGAGATCGCACCTTGGTTTTGGGTTGAAAATACGTAGGCGATCTTGTTCGGATATGTCCTCAAGCTTGCTGGGGTCGAGGTTTGGCGGGTCTACCTCTTTCCACCCGAGTCTCCACCATGTCTGGTCGTGGTCGCTTCTGAGGATCTCTTGGCCGTGGGTATCTGGGAAGTCCTTTCGTATAGCCCGCACTGACACCATTCCACCAAAGATTACAGAGTCTTCAGCACAGTCTTTGCTGGCAGATGAAACGAGCTGGACTACCGGGACCCAGCGTTGTTGTTGGCTGTCGTACACAACGATGAGTTTCGCTTTGAACTGGTTTTGGATCTGGTCGAGGGTATCACCAGAAGAATCAGGAACCATGACACGGCTCGGATCGATTGTGTAGTGGATGGTCTGATTGATTCGATGGATCGTGTTCCTGTTTGGCTGATCTGCTGCGTTGTCTTCAGCTTCCATGATTCCCATGCTGATCCTTGCCTCCCCTGAGAGAGGGGTAACTTGGGTCCCCCTTGCGAGCGCTGGTTTGATTTCCCATGAGGTGCGGCCTCGTGCTCTGTTTGTTTGAAACAGGTTGTCCCAAAGGAGTCGCTGAATCAAGTGCTGGTCCGCCTCGGCTTGGGTGGCATGAGCTGGCTGTAACCCATTGAGGCTGAATCCAGACGGGGAACTACACTGGTAACTGAGTTGTCCATATCTGCCGCAGCTCAGATGATACCTACTGAGTAGTAGACGGCGAATTTTGAAGTTTGCTTGTATCAGTTCGTCCGGACCGAACTCTTGATCGATATCGAACTCGATATGAACAATACTTCGGGCCCATCGTTTCTCAAAGTCGTATGCCTGATCGTTCACGACAAATCGAGTGATCAGAGTTTTGTAAGCGAGCCCCTTCGCGGTAGTGCCGTCGGTGAGGAGGGAGTCGGGTTCGAGTTTGGCGAGTATAAAAACAAGCCGGCGAGCGAACCAGTTGTAGTGTTTGTTGTGTGCTTGAAAGCTTGGCACCCATGAGTTATACGAGATTTGATCTTGCACAAGTTGATCAAGTTTCGTTGGTTTGATGCTGACTTTGACTATACCGAGGACACTTGGAAGGCCTGTGCCCTGTCTTTCAGAGAGGAATGGGAACGAGGCAACCAGTGCTGTTCTCGGAATTGATGCACCCCATCCGTTCTTCTGGACACTTGGTGTGACCTGCGCTGCGTATGCCAAGAGCCAGAGCGTGCAAGCGATGGCGATCCACTTCTTGCTACGCTTGGTCTTTCTCATAGAGCGGGTGGTAGGGTGTTTCTTCCCGCACTCTGGGCATTGGATCGGCTCGGCTTTGAGATCCCCCGGTGCTGCGGCGAGATCATACCAGCACTTCCGGCAGCGGAGTTGTGGTCGTCCGCGCCAGCCGGGACGATCCCATAGCACCGCATATAGAGCAGATAGAACTGCGAGCGTGAGCAGAATCCAATATAAGAAAGTCCAGATCATTGCTGGACTATACCTGATTCTGTGATGTACAGATTCAATGTTCTGGGATTAGCCGTCTTCGCGCTCGTTCCAGAGCTTGAGGACTTCTTGTTCGCGTTGTGGGTCGAGTCCGCCTCGGATTCTTTGGAGCCACTGGGTGTGTTGTTCTTCGCCGTATTGGTCGAGGATTTCTGGGCCTCGGGTTTTGTAGTAGTTGAGGGCGTTCCAGTGGGAGTCTTCGAGTGATCGGGTTTTGAGTCCGGCTTTGATGGACTTGGCGGTGGAGAGCTGGCCTTGTCCTTGGTAACCGTCGGCGGAGTTGGGGACCCACGCGGGCATGTGTTGCCATGCGTTGACGCCGTTGGCTGAGAGGAATGCTTCGTCGATCCATTCGATCTTGGTGTTTACATTGAGCTTGTCTTTGGCGACGCGGGTTGCGGATTCGACCATGTCCTTGCTGGTCCATTGACCTGCGGGGGAGATGCCGTTGTACGCGCCCATGTGTTTTTGTTCGATGCAGTGGATGGTGAAGTCTCCGAGGTCGCGGACGTCGATGACTTGGATGAAATCGTTACCGCTGCCTGGGCCGATCATGGTGCCGCCTTCGGATGCTCTTACGGACCAGTAGGTGAATCGTCCGGTGGTGTCGCGGTCTCCGACGATGAGTCCCGGACGGATCACGCAGACCTTTCCGGGGAAGCGTTCTTCAGCCGCTGCTTCGACGCGTGCTTTCATCGCGCCGTAGTGGACTCCAACTTCTCTGTGTGTCGTTATTCCCGCGGCGATTTCGTCGGAGACGGTTGCGAGCTCTCCGGTCTCGTCCATGCCGGGGTTGGTGCGGGACGCGTAGACGGAGGTGGTCGAGATGACGACGTACTGTCCCATGATCGGGAGGAGGATGTCCATCGTGTCGGTGACGGTTTTGGGGACGTAGGTGAAGGTGTCGATCACGGCGTCGAACTTGCGTCCATCGGCGACGAGTTTCTCGAGTCCGGAGAGGTCGGTGTAGCGGTCGCCTTGGATGTGCTCAATGTCGGGGAACATGTCGGGAGCGGTTTGGCCGCGGTTGAAGAGGGTGACGTTGTGTCCATGGTCGAGGGCGCGCTGGACCATTTTGGGGCCGGCGAATCCGGTGCCTCCGAGCATGAGGATGTTGAGTTTTTTGGGTTTGAAGATGCCTCCTGCAAGAGCGGAGGGGGCTAGCGTGGACGGAAGAAAGGCGGCGCCGATGGTGAGGGCGCTGGCGTCGGTGATGAACTCGCGGCGGGTTTTCATGTTGTGATTTCCTGTGGTTGAACTTTGGTGTGCGTTCTCTGTGATACCGATGATGATCGTCTGTGTTGCATGAGCGCTAGCGAGATCGCGAGACCTGACCAGAGAACCGCCAACGGCGCGGTGACCATGACCATCCCCCATATCCCGATCGTCGCGGCGGCGAGCGCGTTCTCAATTCCGGCGCCCGCGACATCGCCCCCTCGATAGAGGAAGACATCAATGATGGGCTTGGCTTTGTATTTTTCTTGTCTGCTGACGACAGAGAAAAGTGTCTCACGCGCCGGTCGGATGATCGCGTAGCGGCTGGCGCGATGGATTGCGTTGAAGGTTGCGAAGACGGCGAAGATCTGCCAGCCCTCGACATTTGGGCGCGAGGAGATCCATCCGAGCGCGGTGAATCCGGCGAGGGTGACGAATGGGAGAATACACAGCGTGATCCCGATCCCGAGGCGTTTGATGAGCTGCGCGGTGACGAAGAGCTGGACGAGCAGGGTCGCGAGCTGTGTCCACATGTCGAGCTGCGCGAAGAGCGCGACGCGCTGGGTGAGTTCTTCCTCGGCATCCGCGACAATGTTCGCTTGGGTGAAGTAGATCAGCGTGGAACTGATCGCGATGAGTGTGATGTACAGACCGATTCCGAGCAGGTATGGGGATCGGAGGAGCGCTTTGGCGCCCTCGTGCCATGAACCGCCGATGGGTTGGTGATGGTGTTCTTGTGTTTGATGCGCGGCGGGTTTGACTCGGCGCATGATCTGCACGGCGATCTCGAAACACACGCACGCAGCGAGCATCTGAAAGATCGGTCCGATCTGATCTGTGGTGTTCCACGCGGTAAATGATCCGAGCAGCGCGCCGAGGGTCCCCCCCACTCCGATAGAGGGGTAGAGCTTCTTTGCATCTTCGAGCGACCAGGAGTCGGCCATGAATCCCCAGAAGACGGAGACCATGAAGAGGTTGACGACTGAGAGCCAAACATAAAACACGTATCCGGAGTAGAGCTTGAACTCCTGTGGCAGTGCTTTGATGGAGATGACAAAAATGATCAAACACGCGATGACAACGCGGTATCCGATCGTCATGAAGCGTCTTGGGTTCGCTCTGCTCACGAGTGATCCAAACGCGAGGGTGATGATGAGCGAGACGATGCAGGTCGTGACGAACAACCAGCGGAGGTCGCGCATGGAGCGCTCGACGCCCATTGCTTCGCGGAGTGGTCGGAGGAGGAAGTAACCGTAGAGGAGCATGAAGAAGATCGCGCCGGAGAGGACGATCTTCGGGAGGTTGCTTGCGCGTGGATGCGGTGATGGTTCCTGTGTGCTGTTCATCCTGCGAGATGGGTGTACTCTGGACTGTTCTGGAAGGTTGCAGATTCTGAACAAATGTCGGGCAAATGATTCGGATCACCACTATTGTGGTTGGATGGATGAGCACGCTGAGAATGACACGATGATCCCAAGGCCGGCGATTTTTCTGGATCGGGACGACACGGTGAATGTCAACGCGGATCTTCCCGAGGCGGCGTGGGAAGGGGTGAAGTGGGGTGACTTGCTGAAACCTGAGTTCGCGATCCTGATCGATGGGGCGCGAGAGGCGCTCATCGCGCTCAAGCAAGCGGGGTACGCGCTCGTGGTGATCACGAATCAAGGGGGGCTCGCGCGTGGCGGCGGGACGACGCGGTGTGTTGAATCAGTGAACGATGCGCTGCGCCGGGCGCTCAATGACTCGTCGAGCGGGGTGTTCGGGGAGCAGTTGATTGATGGGTGGTACTTTGCGCCGCATCATGCGGAGGGGGTGGTGCCGCCGTATGACTGTGATCATGAATGGCGGAAGCCTCACGGCGGGATGATCCGCGCAGCGTGCGAAGAACTTGGGCTCGATGCGAGCAAGTCGTGGATGATCGGGGACAAGCAGCGCGACCTTGATGCGGGGATCGATGCGGGGGTTCCAAAGGAGCACACGATCCAGGTCGGTCCGAGCGGGACGCACGCGGACCTGTCCGCGGCGGCGGAAGAGATACTGACGGAACCAGAGGGATCGGGGAGTTCGGTCGATGCGCATCCAAAGATCGATCCGGGGACGCGCGTGGTGCTGCACTCGACGGACGAGGCGTTCATCCCGATGGCGGATCAGCGGACGCGCGAGATGGTCGAGGCGGTGGCGCGTGGGATCGCGGAGCGGACGGGGATCGTGATCCATGAGCTCAGCATCGACGAGCGGCAGATCGAGGTGGTGATCGGGGTGCACAAGCTCGCGGCCCTCGCGTTTATGGCGCAGCTGCGGCGCGACACGAATCGCTGGCATGAGCGGCAGTTTGGGGTGCCGCTCTGGTCGATCGGCAGGGACTGGTGATGGGTGATCGTCCGCTGCGATTGTTGATCGTGCTGCCCTCTTGGGTGGGGGATGTGGTGATGGCGACGCCTGCGATTCGTCGGATCCGTGATGCGATGCCTGGGATATTCATCGGTGCGTTGTGTCGACCTGGGATTGATCAGTTGATTGGTGCTGGGGGCGGCGAGAGCGATCTGTTTGATGAGGTGCATGTGTTTGTGCCTCATGGGATGATGGCGACGAAGAAGGCGGCGGCGAAGGTGCGTCCTCGGCGCTACGACACGGCGCTCTTGATGACGAACTCGTTCTCGACGGCGCTGACGACGCGGATCGCGTTTATCCCGAGACGGATCGGGTACGAGCGGGACGGACGCGGGATGCTGCTGACGGACAAGGTGATCCCGCCTCGCAATGCGGATCGGTCGTGGAAGATGGTCCCGGCGGTGGATTACTACTGGAATCTCGCGTCGTATCTGCTTGATGAGACGCTGGTGGATTGGTCGGTGCATGAGCCGGCGGATTGTGTTTCGATGCCTTTGGCGCTTCCGAGCGGGGCGCGGATGGAGCTGCCGATCTCGGAAGCGGATCAGGCGAAGTGTGATGAGATCCTGAGTGCTGCGGGTGTTGATGGTTCCTACGCGATTCTGAATCCCGGCGGGAACAACGAGGCGAAGCGCTGGCCCGCGGATCGGTTTGCGGAGCTCGCGGACTGGTTGCATGCTGAGCATGGGCTCGCGGTGCTGCTCAATGGATCTCCGGCTGAGTCGGAGTTGATTGATGAGATCCGATCGCTGAGCGCGAGTGATCCGGTTTCGCTTCCGGCGCTTGGCAATACGCTTGGTGGTCTCAAGGCGATCTGTAAGGGGGCTCGGATCATGGTGACGAATGACACGGGTCCTCGGCACATTGCGGCGGCGATGGGGACATCTTTGGTGACGCTGTTTGGTCCGACGGATCCGAGGTGGACGACCATCCCGGTTGAGCCGTTGGGTGATGGACGCGAGAGCGAGGTGGTTCTGGTCGCGGATCCGACGCTCGATGCGCGCGAATCGGCGAACGATCATCCGGAGCGGTGCGCGGTGGATCGGATCGAGCTTGGGCGCGTGCAGCAGGCGGTCGAGTTCCTGTTTAAGAATAACTCGTTCGCATAAACAGTACTTTGATTGAATTCGGTTGAACTGGCCGACTATTGTCTGAGTGATGCGCATGGATCGGATCCATTTTGTAGCGACGGCGTTGTTCGCGCTCGGCTTTGTGCTCGCGGGATCGGGGTGGTCGTTCGTGCTCTCGACGATGATGAATCAGCGTCCGTCGTGGTCGGTGTGTGGACAGGAGATGTGCTCGTGTCTCAAGCCGATTGATGATGAGCCGGCGTGTCCGCTCTGTGAAGCGGGATTGATGGATCCTTCTGAGATGGATTCGGGTTGTGATTCGGACAGCGAACCCACGACGCCGACTCGGCGCGTCCCGAAGAACAACGCGTCGATTGATGCGCTCGGCGGCGCGGGGACCAATGTCGCGATCGCGCTCTTTGTGGGGACGATGATCGCTCGCTCGAACGCGGATCTTGGATTGGACCCTCAGCGGGTCACGATCGCGATCATCAATGATCGAGTCCCTTGGTCGCATGGGGTTGAGCTGCCGACGCCTCCGCCTCGCGCTTGAGCTGATCGCTCGTTCTTTACACACACATGGAAACACAATCGGTGCGTCGCTGCGGCGCGCACTGGGAGGTTGCGTATATGCGATACCAATATCGCGTCCGCGGCGGGTTTACGCTCATCGAGTTGTTGGTGGTCATAGCGATCATCGCGCTGCTGATCGGGATGCTGCTCCCTTCGCTCTCTGGAGCGCGGGACAGCGCACGATCGGTCAAGTGTCTTGCTTCGATGCGTTCGCTCGGGATCGCGATGAATCTGTATCTCGATGACAACGACGGGGTGTTCCCACGCTCGAAGCACTCGGCGGGGTTCTCAGGCGGTCTCACCTGGGCGCCCCAGATGTTCGAGTATCTCACGGATCAGAGCTTTGAAGGGGATTCCGATCTCTGGCAGAGCGATTCGTGGTGGAGCGCAACCAATGAGTTCTACAGGTGCGCTCATGATCGGAGAGCAAGTCCGATTGAGCAGCCGGGGCTGCCGTTCTCGACAGCGGCGGTGAGCTACGGGCTGAATGTGTATTACGAGCTGCGACGAGAAGAGATTGATCCGAGCAGGTCTATGGGTGATCGGTTTGAGCCGTATCGGAAACGATCGGCGACGCCTCATCCTTCGATGACGATTCTGCTCGGAGAGATCAAGGACACGCTGAGCGTGGACCACATCATGGCTCATTTCTGGCGCACGCGTGGTGTGCAGGCGGGCTTTGAGGTGGCACACGATCGGCACGGAGACAACGCGGGATACCTGATGCTCGATGGGCACGCTGCGGCGCGCTCGCTGACTGAGGTGTATGACGCGGACAACGCGCGGGATCAGTGGTATCCCGCGATGGCACAGTAACAACACGCGCCCTAAGGGGCGCACTCAATAGAAAGAAGTTTCAAAATGAAAATTATGACAGTATCAACACTCGCACTCGTTTCAGGTTACGCGCTTGCGGGCGTGAGCACCCCCAATGTCTGGGGTCCGATGGAGCACATCATGCTGACCTTCAACAACGGCGAAGTGCACGCGCATGTCGGGACCAATGCGAGCACCCCGATCGAGATGCAGCGCTTTGCAGGCGAGGTATACGACGGCGCTGCGAGCGTGCTCAACGACACCTACTACTCCAGTCAGTACGGCTGGCTCGCGGACGGATTCATCAGCCTCGGACAGGACGAGTACATGTGGATCGAGCATGTCTCATCGACCGCTGGTCTGAATGTGTACGAAGGCGGGCTCCGCATGATGCGTGAGATGCACACCTACGACGCGATCCAAGGCACCGCTGGTTCTGACAACGCGTGGAACTGGGGTGGCACGATGGTCCACAACTGGTACAGCGCTGATGCACTGGGCGCGTACGAAGCGACCTACCGCGTGTTTGTGGGTGACGCGTCCGGCAACGCGTACTCGCAGTATACAAGTGATCTGGTGACGCTGAACTTCAATGCTGTCCCGGCTCCAAGCGCACTGGGGATGCTCGCGATGGGTGGGCTCGTCGCGTCGCGCAGAAAGCGTGGTGACGCATGAGAGCTACTCTTGTAACACTCGCGCTGACTGCGGGATTCGCTTCGGCGGATGTGCCTCAGATGGGTGGTCCGATGAGCCACTTGCTTGTATCCATCTTTGATCAGCAGGTGTTCCTCTCATTCGAGTCGCCTCACATGACGACGGTGGAGATGCTCGAAGGCGATGATATTTATGATGGCGCTGCATCGGTGCTCAATCACACTGGGGTAAACTCCCAGTTCGGATGGCTCGCGTTCGGTTTCATCTCACTCCCCTCTCAGAGCGGCGTATTTGTCCGTACGCTCGGATCGTCGGAGCATCTCTCTGTATACTCGGAGTTTGGGTTTGATCCCATCCTTGGGACCGACGGCTCGGACTCGGTCTGGCAATGGGGTGGTCAGATGACGCACAACTGGTACTCCAGCGATGTGCGTGGTCCACACTGGGCGCAGTACGAGGTGTTCGTCGGAGATCTGCAAGGCAATCCGCTAGAGGGCTGGGGAAGCGCGACGATCGATCTGCACTTTGAGTTCGGACAGGATCTGAGCGGTCGGATCGGATCGCTAGGGAATGTTTCGGTTGGAACGGTCCCGGCTCCGAGCGCATTGTCCGTCTTCGCGATGGTCTCTGTCGCCGCCCGTCGGCGTCGATGAACTGATCGATTGATCACAAATCTATGATTGAGGGCATCCTTTCCGATTGGATGGGGTGCCCTCTTTGTGTTGGGTGACTACGCTGAGTTGTATGGAGACTCTTGAGATGGAAACGGGATACCCACGACTGCCGACAGACACTGACAACGGGTTGTTGTTGATCATCTCCGGACCATCCGGGGTCGGGAAGACCACGATCACACGCGGCGTAGAGCGCGCGATCGGGGATTCGGTGTTCTCAGTAAGCTGTACAACGCGCGTCAAGACCGAAGCGGACACTGAGGGGGTCGATTACCACTTCGTCAGCGACGAGGAGTTCAACGAACTCATCGAGCAGGACGCATTCCTTGAATGGGCGGATGTCTTCGGGAAGAAATACGGCACGCGGCGCAAGTGGGTCGAAGAACAGCTCGCACGCGGTCGACTGGTGATCCTTGAGATCGATGTCAAGGGCGCGGCGCAGGTGAAAGAAAAAATGCCCGACGCGTTTGGGATTTTCATTATGCCTCCGAGTGAAGAGGTTTTGCTCGGACGCTTGCAGAATCGCAAGCGCGAGAGCACCGAGCAGATCGAGAAGCGGTTCGCGGAAGCGAAGACGGAGATGGAAGCGGCACGCTCGGGTGATGTATACGACAAGTTCATCATCAATGAAGATCTCGAAGCGGCGATCCAGGAAGCGATCGGTACAGTGAACGCGGCTCGGATTGCGAGCTCGATGCGTCATGAGCACTAAAAAACGGGCCGAGGCCCGTTGGTGACATTGATGATGATTGACGGATCGCTTATTGAGCGCAGTCCATTGGTGGGTAGCGGAACTCTTCCTTGACGATCTTGCCGTTTTCAACGGTGTAGTTCGCGACTTCGCGCATGCTCATGCGTGGGAAGGTGCCGTTCTTACATTCCATGTCCATGTCGAAGACGAGGCTGAATCCGTTGGGTCCGACGAATGGTCCGGTGACTTCGCAGCCGTGCATAGTCACGCCGCTCTGCCACTCGCGGTACTTGGCGATGACTTCATCGCGTCCGGTGTAGGTTTTGCCGTCGCCTTCGACGCTGACCCAGTTGTCGGCGAAGTGCTTATCCCAGATTTTCGCGTCGTACTCAACGAAGTCGACGCTCTCGTCTCCGGACTTGCAGTGCTCGAAGACATCGTTTGCGATTTGGGTGATGGTGTCGGTCGCGGTGGTCATGGGTTTCTCCTGTTGGTGTGTCACTGATTTTCATCAGTTTGTTTGGTTTCTGATTGGAGTATACCACAAGGCTATTGTCTTGGAAAGACAGAAATGAGATTAATTATCGGCGAGGTCAAGAGTGCGTGAATTCGATGGTTTTCGGTTGATTTCACACAGCTCATCTGCTGAACTTGGTGTGGACTCGTTGGGTTGAGCGAAGGGTTAGAGAGCGATGATGATCCAAGCCGTAGTTTGTGCGTTGATGGTTGGGATGGCGCCGGAGTTCTCATCAACTTCACTTCCATCGGGATCCAAAGTTTCGCCGATTGATCGATCGCTCCGACTCACGAGCGTTGGTCCTTCGATCGGGATCGGGGTGTATCGGCACGGTCCCGGGATGGGATCGGGGATCATCAGTGCCGACTATGACAACGATGGAGACGCGGATCTTTTTGTACCGACACGATCGGGATTCACAAGTCAGCTCTATCGCAACGACGGCGGGACATTTACTGAAGTTGCGGTCGCATCGGGACTCACGGATACCAACACCGCTCGCTCGGCGCTGTGGTTTGATGCCGATGGAGATGATCTGCTGGACCTGCTCATTCAGTTTGACCAGTTTCAAGCGCCGGGGACGATCGGAACTCGGACATTGGCGCTGTACCAACAGCAAACGGATCATTCGTTCGTGGAAGTGACGACGGGGTCGGGGCTGGATTTGATGCCGTTGCTTGTGCCTCAGACGCAGGGCGGGGCGATGTGTGCCGGGGATCTGAACGGCGATGATCGGCTCGACCTGGTCGTGACGACGTGGGATCAGGGCGCACGGATCTTTCGCAATGATGGAAACATGGTTTTTACGGACATCACTGGGGACTCGCCGCTGAATCCGAGCGGGACGACGTACTGGCAGCCCGTGATGTTTGATCAGGATGGAGATGGGGACCTCGATGTGTTTGTTGCGCACGACTTCTTTGCCAATCCGATGCTCGACAACGACGGGACGGGGGCATTCATTGATACCGCGCCGTCTCTGGGACTCGATACGGACTTCAACGAGATGGGGGTGACCATCGGGGATTGCGACAACGATGGGGACTTTGATCTTTATGTCACCAACTTGTTTGGTCATCCGGGCGGGGTGAGCGAATACAACGTGTTCTTTGAGAAATCCGACACCGCTGCGGGTTATGTCGAGCGCGCGGTTGAGCTCGGCGTGGACAACGGCGGATGGGGATGGGGCACGGTGTTCTTTGACATGGACAACGACGGCCGTCTCGATCTCGCGGAGGTCAACGCGATCGAGTTTGGGGAAGCGGATCAGCCCTGGAAGCTGTGGATGAATCGGGGACCGATGGTCGGGACGCCGGTGTATCAATCGCGCGAGGAGCAGATCGGGTTTGCGTTCCAGGACTATGGCTCGGCGCTGATGGATGTGGACTTTGATCGCGATGGGGATCTTGATCTCGTCGCGACTGTGCTCAATGGTCCGGTGCGCGTGCTGGAAAGCAACGCAACCAGCGCTCGTCCTTTCAATCAATGGTTGGTCGTGCGACCACGCATGCCTGGGACGATGAACACGCGTGCGATTGGCGCGGTGGTGACCGCTCGCACGGGCAACGTGACACACACTCGACTCATCAGCGCCGGAACAAGCTTTATGTCGCAGGTTCCCGCGGAAGCCCACTTCGGACTGGGGAACGCGACGAGTATCGACGAGCTTGTCGTCCGCTGGCCCAACGGGACTCAGACAGTCCTGACCGATGTGGACACGCGTCAGGTGCTGGACGTGACCCCTACGGATGGGATGGGGCTGATCGAACAGATCGCGCCGGATCTGAGCGATCGCATCCGCACGATCCGACGGAAATGATCAGGAGATGCTGAGCGTTGGTGCTTTGGTGCCTTTGCTCATCGACGCGAGGGTGACCTGCGCGACGAGCTGGTCGGCGAGCTGATTGAGCGCCGATGGGAGCTGCGGACCGCCGGCGGTGGACTCATCGAAGTTCTTGGTTGGATTCCCGTTGTCCATGTTGGCGCGGAGCGCGGTGTTGATGGGGATCGATCCGAGGTACGGGAGTCCGAGGCGCTGCGCCATCTGCTGGGCGCCGCCTTTGCCGAAGATGTCGTACTCTTTGGCCTGACCATTCTCGTCTGGGTCTCCGATGAAGAAGGACATGTTCTCGACGACGCCGAGGGTATCGACTCCGAGCGACTCAAACATTTTCGCGGCTCGGACCGCGTCGTCCTGCGCAACCTTCTGAGGAGTACAGACGATGACAGCGCCGGAGAGCTGGACGGACTGCGCGAGCGTAAGCGGGACATCACCCGTTCCAGGAGGGAGATCGATGATGAGGTAATCGAGCTCCCCCCACTGCGTGCGTTCGATGAGTTGGTGGAACGCGCCGTGCGCCATTGGCCCGCGCCATATGAGGGGTTTGTCGGATTCGACGAGCTTACCCATCGTGATGGATTTGACGCCGTGGACGAGGAAGGGTTGGAGGACGCCGTCGAGAACGGTCTGGTCCATCGCTTCGAGTCCGAGCATGGTGGGGAGTGATGGGCCGTAGATGTCGCCGTCGAGGACTCCGACGGAGTGTCCCTTGCGCGCTAGACCCACGGCGAGGTTGATCGCGACGGTGGACTTCCCAACGCCGCCTTTGCCTGCACCAACCGCGATGATGTGCTTGACACCAGGCACCCCTGACGCGTTTTTGTTCTGCGGGGCTTGCTCGGTGACGCGTGGTTGATCGGCGCTGGTTTTGGTGTCGCTCTTGAGTTTGAGGACGACCTCTCCGGCGTGGTCCACGAAGTCGATGACGAGTCCGAGGTTGTCAACGCCGTTGTCCTTTGCGGTGGCGCGGATGAGCTGCTCGGCGAACTTCCCCATGTTCGACAGGGTGTTGCGGTCCGGCTGGGGTTGGTCTGGGTGTCCTTGCGTGTAGCAGATGCGGACCGAGGCGTCGGAATCGCAGACAGCGATGTTCATGACACATTCGCGGCTGACGAGGTCTCCGCCGTCGGGATGGGAGACTCCGGATAATGCATCATTGATGTGTTCTTTGGTCAGGGGCATAGAGGGGCTCAGCTGCGGTTTGTCGTGTAATTCGGGTGCAAAGGGACGGTCTAATCGTCACAGATGGTATTCGTGGAATCATAGGCGTTGGATGATTTTTTCAAGAGTGCAATACGCGGATTGGAGCGGCGTTTGGCGTGTCGATAAGGGAAAGACAACACATCACCGCCGGGTTCACATCACTCGGCCTCTATGGGAGGTTCCACTATGAAATCCAAGTCAACACTGAGCCAAGCCGGGATCGCGATGATCCTTGTCGCACTATCGGGAACAGCGCTCGCGGCTGAGCCACAGAGCGAGGACGCGACATTTTTAGGTGGTCCTGAGGTCGTTGAATCCAGTGGTCCCGATGCTGGTGATTCGATGACTGGGTCCGCTGAGAAATCACGCAAGGCGGGCGACATGCCACTCCGCGCGTACATCGGCGCGGTCATGAGTCTGCGACGAGATGCGCAGGATAACCCTGAACTGGCGCTGACTGAAGAGCAGCAAGAGTCGATTAAAGCGATCGGCAAAGCGCACGCCGAGAAAATGCGTGCGTTCATGGAAGAGCACAAAGAAGAACTCGGTGAGATGCGTGGATCCCGCGGTCAAGCGGGTGAACGCGGTCAACGCCGACAGCGCGGCGAAAGAGGCGAGCGAGGCGAAGGCGGACAGCGAGGACAGCTTGACGGTGACCGCGATCAACAGGATCGTGATCGTGGAGAGCGAGCAAAGGAACGCGGCGAGCGACCATCTCCTGAGGAGATGCAGAAGAAACGCGCCCAGCTTGCTGAGCTGATGTCTGAAGCTCCATCGGACGCGGAAGCAAAGAAAGAACTCTGGGCCGTGCTCACTCCTGCTCAGCAGAGTGCAGTGAAGGAACGCGTCGCGAAGATGCGTTCACAACGCGAGCAGCGCGTGGATCGCGCTATGGAAGCCGGGAGTGACAGAAAGGCGAATGCAAAGCAAGGCAAGGAAGGCCAACGCGGCAAGCGAGGCAAGAAAGAAGCACAAGAGATTGATGACTGATCTCGAATCATTCATCTGGAACAGGCCACACCATCCTGATTCCTTCAGGCGGGCAGCGAGCGGAAACGCTCGTTGCTTGTTTTTAGCTTTGTGCTTCCGATTCGCCCGGAGATGGAGCGAGCTTGGATCCGATGATCGGGATCTGTGATCTGCGGATCGCGATGATGATCACACTGGCGACAAAGACAATGACCGCCATCGTGAACAGCGAAGGACCTGCGAGGGGTTCAAGCCTTGGATCTCCGAGTGCGATTGGATCAATGTCAATACCGAGCTTGGTGATGTGTGCCATGATCGCGCCGGAGATCACACCGACTGATCCAATGGCGCCGAGTACACTCGTCTTGGGTATGAGTAGCAACACCACACACACGAGCTCGGCAACCGCGGTCGCGTAGCGTCCCATCGGTTCAGCGCCGAGCACATCGAAGAGTGCGACGGTTTCCTCGGCACCAGTAAACTTGAAGAACAAGGTCTGTCCAAGAATGAACGCGACGACGAGTTGAAGTATCCAGCTGACGATGGTTGCGGGTTTGCTCATGGTACATCCTGCTCTCGTTGGGCGCGACCAATCTCGGCCCGTGTGTACACGAACTGGTCATCGTCAGGATTTATTCATTTGATCCAACAAGCTCTATATCGAGCGTCGAATCAGCGTTTTTGAATCAGAGAGTCGCCATATCCACGGTCACAGGGACGAAGGTTCGCTGGACCTTGTTCTCGAATTCTTCTGGGAACTTCTCCATGATGGTCCGCACGGCCCAGCTGTTGCCGTCGGCGAGACCGCAGATGGTCGTGCCGGGCATGGATCCCATCGATCCCGCGATCTCGCGAGCGAGGTCGAGGTCCTTTGATTTCGCGTCTCCTGCTTCGATGCGCGTCATGATCTGGTAGAGCCAACCCGACCCTTCACGACAAGGCGTGCACTGTCCGCAGCTCTCGTGCTTGAAGAAGCGGGTGATGTTGCGTGTCACGGAGACCATGCAGGTGTCTTCATCGAACACGGTTGGTCCGGAGGTTCCCAGTCCGAGGACGCCGTATTTGCGTCCGATGTCAAAGTCCATTTCCGCTTCGTACTGATCGGTCCCGAGGATCCCCATCGAGACCCCGCCGGGGATCGCGGCTTTGTACTTCTTGCCGCCTCGCATGCCGCCGCAGTAGTCTTCGATGAGTGTGCGGAGCGGGATGCCGAGCTCAAGCTCGTAGCAGCCCGGCTTCTCGACGTGTCCCGAGACGCCCATGAGCTTTGTGCCGTAGGAAGGCGGCCCGCCGATGGAGGATTCGACGCCGAGTTCGCAGAACGCTTTCGCGCCCTCGGTCATGATCCAAGGCAGGTGCGCGAGTGTTTCGACGTTGTTGATGATCGTCGGACGATCGAACAGACCCTTGATCGCCGGGAATGGAGGCTTAATGCGAGGCCAGCCGCGCTTGCCCTCGATGCCTTCGAGGAGCGCGGTTTCTTCGCCGCAGATGTACGCGCCGGCGCCGCGGTGGACGTAGCAGTCCGCAACGAACGCGTCACCCGATGCGTTGCCGCCCTGGTTGATGAGTCCTCTTTCGCCGAAGATGCCGTTGTCGTACGCTTCTTTGATCGCTTGTTCGAGGACCTTCGCTTGGTGGTGGTACTCGCCTCGGATGAAGATGTATGCCTTGTTGAGTCGGCACGCGTACATGCAGATCGCGATGCCTTCGAGCAAGCCGTGGGGATCGAAATCCATGAGGAGGCGGTCTTTGAAGGTTCCCGGCTCGGATTCGTCCGCGTTGATCGCGAGGTAGCGCTCGCCGCCGTCGGCGTCTGGGAGGAAGGTCCACTTGAGGCCACACGGGAATCCCGCGCCGCCACGCCCGCGCAGGACGGAGTCCTTGACTTCAGAGGTCACGTCCTCTGGTTTCATGGTCAGCGCTTTGCGGAGCCCCTCGTAGCCGCCCGTCTTGACATACTCGTCGTATCCGACGACGTGGCGATCGCGGATGTGCCCGAACGGGGCGGTGGGGATGCGCTTGAGCAGGATGTGCTCGGAGAGTGAGTTGTCCCATGCTTTTTTGGGCATTGATCGGCTCCAGACCTGAGTAAGGGCAAGTTGGTCGATTCTAGCCGGCTGAGACCCCGAATTGTGCATCGATCCACGCTCGCGGAGGTATGCTCGTGCATGAAGATACTCGTACTCGGCGGCACCCAGTTCAGCGGCAGAGCGTTCGTGGACCTCGCGATCCGCGAGAATCACCAGATCACCCTCCTCCATCGCTCCCCCACCAATCCCGGACTCCCTGAGAGCGTCCGCCGACTCGTCGGCGATCGCGATCCCGAGAAAGGGGCGGGGCTCGATGAGATCAAGAAGCTCATTGATGCCGGGGAACGCTTCGATGCGGTGCTCGATATGTGCGGCTATGTCCCGAGAGTAACGCAAGCGAGCTGCGAGCTGCTCAAGGGCGCGTGCGATCGGTATGTGTTCACCTCGACGATCAGCGTGTACGACAAAGACAGCCAAGACGAGGTCCCTGACGAGGACTCGAAGCTGATCGATCTCGAAGACAAGAGCGTCGAAGAAGTCACGGGCGAGACCTACGGCGGACTCAAGGTCCTCTGCGAACAGGTCGTCCGCACGTGGTATCCAGAGAACCACACGATCATCCGTCCGACAGTGATCGCGGGACCCAACGATCCGACCGATCGCGTGACCTGGTGGGCGCGGATGCTCTCGACGCTCGACGCGATGGTCATCCCCGCTCCTCCATCGGGACTCGCGGGGTTCATCGACTCCCGCGATCTCGCGGCGTTTTTCCTGCGGACCATCGAGCACGAGGTTTCGGGGATCTACAACGCTGTGGGTCCTGAAGTGAATCTCCCGATGCACGACTTCATCACGCGAGCGCATTCAGCGCTGGATTCCAAAGCCGAGCTGGTCGAGGTCGATCAGGATCGCTTGGCATCGATGGAAGTCAATCCTTGGGTGGACATCCCGACCTGGGCGCCAGAGGAGAGCCAGTTCATGTACAGAATCTCGGCGCAGCGAGCGATCGATCAGGGGCTCACACGACGACCACTGGAAGAAACGATGCAAGCGATCAACGCGTGGGACATCGAGCGTGGTCGTCCTGAGCTCAAAGCCGGGATGAGCGCGGATCGGATGCGTGAGATCGTGGAATCGGTCCGTGTCTCAGCCGACTGATCGGAGCTGCTTGAGGAATCCGAGCTGACGACGTTTGATGAACTTCGGATCGTAGATTCTGGAAACCAAATCGCGGAATCCCGATTCCAGTTCATCCCTTGTCATCCCGATCGGTTCGTAGTTGAGATCAAACAGCGTGCAGCGATCCCATTGCCCCGCGTGCGTGAGTCTTCCCGAATCTTCCAGCCGATGGTACAACGGCGTTCCTGGGAACGGCGTCTGCAGCGTCACCTGCACATCGTACAGATTCGTCCGCTCCGCGAAGTCATACACGGCATCAAATGTCGCGGGCGTGTGTCCATCGAGTCCGAGCACGAAGCATCCGATGACCGTGATGCCGTGCGATTGGATGGTGCGCACCGCTTCTTCGTACTTGGGATATTGAGCGAGTTTCCAGTTGTTGTTTGTTTCGATGCCGTCCAGACCGGTCTCGTTGGGTGATTCGAGACCGATGAGGACTTGTCGGCATCCCGCTCGCTCCATGAGCGAGAGCAGCGTCGGATCACGCGCGATCGAGACATCGCACTCTGTGAACCATCGCACGCGCTCAGGGATCATCGCTTCGAGCAGTTCGTACGCTCTCCCTCGACTCGCGAACGAGTTGTCGTCCGCGAGCTCGATGAAGGGATCGTCCCAGATCGATTTGATCGCGCGGATCTCCTCGATCACCTTGTGGGTCGGCTTCACTTTGTAGCTCGGCGTGAGCATGATCGACGACGCGCAGAAGTCGCACTTGTGCGGACATCCGCGTGTGGTCTGGACTGTGAGCCGATTGTACTTGTCGATGTCGAGCAGATCGAACCTCGGCATCGGCGCGTCATCGAGCGAATACGAATCATCGGATTCATACTTGGGTTGCAGCTGTCCCTTGCGGAAGTCTTCGATGAGCCGCGCCCAGACTGATTCTCCCTCCCCCACCACAACCGCGTCGGCGTGCTGCATGCATTCATCAGGAACACAGGTCGCGTGCAGACCTCCCATGACCACTGTGATTCCAGATGCACGGAACTCATCAGCGAGTGTGTACGCGTCGAACGCTTGGGCGGTCATCGTAGAGATCGCGACGAGATCGAATCCCAAATCAGGAACACGATCGCGCTGCAGATCATCCACCTCGTGGTAGGAGATCTCGATATCGTCTGGAGTGAGTGCCGCGAGCGTGAGCAGTCCGAGCGATGGGAGCGATGCGATCACTTCGGAGCGTTCGACGAATCCTGGGAGCGTGAGTCCGAGCGCGAGGAGTTCAGGATCTTGCACGCGCACGCCGGACATGGCAATGAATCCGATTCTCATAACACACTCCCTATCAATGACTGCGAAGTGACCCAAGAAATCAGAACACCACCCACAGTCAGCAGCACAACTGGGATCACAAAGATCGTCTTCGCTTCTTTCTTCACGGCGACGACAAAGCAGCAAATCGGCATCCAGCATCCGCCAAGCAAGAACGAGATCGAGATCCATGTCCAGATCGGAGCATCCAAGTACGACTCTCCGAACAGCAGGCCCGTGAGCCCCACCAAGACATTCAGGAAACCCGTCCCAAAGAACGCGATGTGTCCGAGCCGAGTCAGTCGGCGAGCCCAGGAGTTGTAGCCGCCCATGAACTCGTCCTTGTGGAACCCCATCCCAAGCACAGCACCAGCGACGAATCCCATCGTGATCCAGATCCATCCAAACGCGAGATTGAGCATGACTTCCCCTTATGTATAGTGTGTACTAAACTAGTACTCACTATACTACAAGATCGCTTGATCGTTGCATGGAAAATTCAAATTTCTCATAAATTGCTCTGAGAAAGTAGCTTAAAGAGCTTGAAAGTGGCTCAATCTTTGTGGACTTCGATCTCTTCGATCGTGGTTCGGCGGAGTGTGACCTTCTGGCCTTGGATCTCCGCGTCGGCTTCCTCGCTCTGCTGAGAGACGATCTTGGACTCCGAATCCGACTGGACGGGCTTGGTCGTCGCGTTCCAGAGGTGCCCGAAGAATCGGCCGATGGCGCGGGAGATCGGGATGTCCTGATCGTTCTTCACGCTCTATTCTAGTTCCCAATGGCAACAAAGAACCAACATCGCTGCGAATGGGCGCGGACCGAATCCGAAATCCTCTATCACGATACCGAATGGGGTGTCCCCAATCGCGATGAGCACCACCTCTTCGAGATGCTCACGCTTGAAGGGGCACAAGCCGGACTGAGCTGGTCGACGATCCTCAACAAACGCGATGGGTATCGGAAACTGTTCAAGAAGTTCGATCCCAAAAAGGTCGCGAGGTTCACACAAGACGACATCGAACGGCTCATGCTCGATCAGTCCATCGTCCGCAATCGACTCAAGATTGAATCCACCGTCAACAACGCGAAAGCGGTCCTCGAACTCTACAAGCAAGGCACGACCTTCAGCGAGCTGATGTGGTCGTATGTGGACGACACGCCGATCGTGAACAACTTCAAATCACTCAAAGACCTCCCGGCTCAAACGGATCTCTCCAAGCACATCTCGAAAGACCTCAAGAAACAAGGATTCCGATTCGTCGGCCCAACAGTGATCTACGCGATGATGCAAGCGTGCGGCATGGTGAACGACCACACGACAAAGTGTCCGCGACACAAAGCGTGCGCGAAGTTCAAGTGAACTGAATGTAGGTTAGAGGTCTTCTTTGACCGCACCGGTGCCGCCGGGTTGGTAGGTGCCGTTCTGGACCTGCTCGATGAGCTGGACGGTGCGCTCAGGGGTGAGGTTCTCGTGGAGGTCCTCGTTGATGAGCGCCGCGGGCGCTGTGCCGCACGATCCGATGCATTCGAGCTCGACGAGTGTGAACTTGCCGTCTTCGGTGCTTTGTCCGACATCGATCCCGAGCTTGTCTTTGATCGCTTCGGTGCACGCGGTCGCGCTGCAGAACTCGCACGCGATGGAGCGGCAGACGGAGATCAGGTTCTCTCCCTTGCTGTGTTCCCAGTATTCTTCGTAGAAGGTGACGGTATCGAGGACTTCTGAAGGCGCAATGTCGAGGACGTCAGCGATCTCTTTCATCGCTTGCTTGGGGACCCAGCCGTAGTGGTGCTGGATCATGTGGAGAGCCGCGAAGAGGGCGCCCTTGGGTTTGGCGTAGCGCGGGATGTAGTCCTCGCGGAGCTTCTTGGTCATCTCGGCGGTGAGATACGGCTCATCGCGCGTCTCGATCGTTGCTGATCCGGAGTTTTTGGTAATCCAAGGCATCGTGGTCCTCTCGTCGTTGGATCAATCCTAGCGGGCTTCTCGCCGCTTGACCCCTCCTCGGACCATCGACTTATGGACTGGTTGGGACCTCTGGATCCGTCCCAACCTGGGTCGTCGTGATGGAGAACGCTCCGGTCTCGGGGTCATCGACAATCGTAAGTTCCCAGACGCCATGTCCGAGTGCGATCGGACCCCTGATTGTCGCGTGTCCTGTCTCTGGATCGATTGTCCAGAACATGAATGGGAGTGTGATGTGCTCATCTCCGAGCTGTGTGTGCGACTGAGCGGTAATCTTGTCGGTCTGTGATGGCTGGAGCTCAAGCACGGTCTTTCGCTGCTGATCGCTTAGATTGAGCGGATCGATCGGCTCGGATTTGGAGTGGTACACCCACACCACGCGATCCGTGGTGTTGCTCAGATGAACCTCCATCGCGGCGTCATGGATCCGATGAGCTTCCGGCGTCTGTGATGCGGTTTGAGGTGATGCTTGCTTGCCCCAATACAGCGCGCCGAACCCAACAAAGCACGCTACACCCAACGAGAAAATGACAAACAGTACGAGTCGATGATTCATGATTCGATTCCTGTGCTCAAGGCTTTCAAGGAATCATTGGGATTTGATTACACCCAATTGCAGCATCGAGCGAATCGCTCAGTCCTTGGTCAGACTGATCTCGTAGGGGTCCCAGCTCGTGCTTGATCCAGTGCTGATCCGAGCCGTATAGCTCCCACGCTTGATCACGAACTGCTCCGGCGCGGCGATCGAACTCCCGGTACCTTCGATGGTCAGCACGACACGCTCCATCGGGGGGGATTCGACCGGTCCGAGCGTGCGTTCCTCTCCGGCTCGCACAGTCATGGACTCGAGCATGATCGCCGTATCAAACTTCCGCTCGTGCTCGATGCGTGCGTTGAGGTTTGTGCGCGAGTCGTTGATGATCCGGACGGTGTAGGTCGGATTGATCGAGCATCCGCCGACAAACAACGACGCGAACATCGCAATGCACAACATCAACGGCGTGGATCGTTTCATCGGTCGAGCTCACCCGCGACGATGTTGAGGGAACCGATGACCGCGACGATATCCGCGAGCATGTGTCCCTCGAGCATCTTGGAGACGAGCGAGTAGTTGATGAAGCTCGGCGGACGCGTCTTGGCGCGCCATGAGCACTTGGTGCCGTCTCCGACGACATAGAACCCCAGCTCGCCGTTGGCGGTTTCGTGCGCTCCGTAGACCTCTCCGACTGGTGCGTCCCATCCTCGGTTGGTCATGATGAGCTCGAAGTGCTGGATGAGTCCCTCGATGGAGCCGTAGACCTCGCCCTTTGGTGGTTTGGTCATCTTCTCGTCCGCGAAGACATCGATCGGTCCATCGGGGATGTTGTCGATGAGCTGGTCGATGATGCGGATGGACTGCTTGATTTCTTCGACGCGGACGAGGAATCGGCAGTACGCGTCGCCGTCGCGTGTGATCGGGACATCGAACTTGACCGCTTCGGCGCCGTTCCCGTCCCAGTTGTCCGCAAAGCAGAGGTAAGGCTCATCCTTGCGGAGGTCACGACGGACTCCCGATCCGCGAGCAACGGGTCCCGTCGCGCTGTACGCGATCGCTTCGTCGTGGGTGAGCACGCCGATGCCTTGGGTTCGGTCCATGAAGATGCGGTTGCGCTCGACGAGGTTCATGAGGTCGTCGATCGCTTCTTCGAGCACGCCGTGGATGAAGGTCTTGACCATCCGCACAAACACGGCTTCGTCCGGGATCTCCTTGACCGCGCCGCCGACTCGCGACCAGTCCGGATGGAATCGCTGTCCCGCGACGTAGTCCATGATGTCGTAGATGCGCTCGCGGGGATTGAAGCAGTAGAGGAAGCCGGTGATCGCGCCGACATCGAGTCCCGCCGCGCCGACGCAGAGGAGGTGGTCCTGGATGCGTCCGAGTTCCGCGAGGATCGTGCGGAGGACTTTGCATTTGGGAGAGATGTCGATCCCGAAAAGCTTCTCGACGGTGTGGTGCCAGCAGATGCCGTTGGAGATGGACGAGAGGTAGTTCATCCGCGAGACGATGGTGATGTACTGGTTGTAGTCGAGGTGCTCTCCGAGCTTCTCGAATCCGGAGTGGAGGTATCCGATGTGGGGGGTGCATCGCGCGACGCGCTCGCCGTCGAGTTCGAGGACGAGCCGGAGCGTGGTGTGGGTCGCGGGGTGCTGTGGACCGAAGTTGAGGACCCAGCGATCGCCCGTGTCGATGTGGTCCTTGATGTAGTCGATGTTCTCGGCGTTGACATCGATCCCGGTATCCGGCGTCAGTGTGTAGGGCATGCTTGTGTCCTCAGCGAAGCCGGGAGTCATTCCCGGGCTCTGAGGGGCATCATAGTGCCTCCAAATGCCGAATTGGAACCGATTTGGGGTGAGATTCGCTCCAGATTCAAATGGGCTTGATGCGGATCGATCACGGAACCTCGATCGTGCCGATCAGCGAGTTCTCTTTCTGGATTTCTCGCATGCTGAGTATCTTGGTTATACTCGCTGGATCCAATAGGAGCTCGATCCCACGCATGGACACCTCTGCGCTCGTCAATAACCTGCTCAGTCCTCCGATCCTCTTTTTCTTTCTTGGGATGCTCGCGACGCTTGTCCGCTCGGATCTGAGTATTCCCAAGGAACTCTCGCGTCTATTCGCGCTCTATCTGTTGTGGGCGATCGGATTCAAAGGCGGCGTCGCACTGCGCAGCGCCGGAGTGAGTTGGGAGACATTAATGCCGTTGATCGTCGCGATGGCGCTCTCAGCGATCATCCCGCTCTATGTCGCACCAATCCTTCGGCTCGCAAAGTTCAGCATCGCTGATGCGTGCGCCACAGCAGGCGCGTACGGCTCCGTCTCTGTCGTCACCTTTATCACAGCTCAGAAGTTCCTCGAAGTTCAGGGCATCGAGTTTGGAGGTCATCTGGTTGCGGCGCTGGCGCTGATGGAAGCTCCCGCGATCGTGACAGGGGTCATGCTGTTTCGAGCTATGGGTGAAGGATCCTCAGCGAAAGATCTGTTTAAATCTCGGCGCCATGAGCTCAAGCATTTACTCCACGAAGCCGCCGTGTCTGGACCTGTGTTCCTGCTGCTCGGATCAATCACCATCGGAGCACTCACTGGACAAGCGGGATGGCAGTCACTCGAACCATTCAGTAAAGACATCTTCGATGGCGTGCTCGTGCTGTTCCTCCTCGACTCGGGACTCACGGCGAGCAAGCAGATCCGATCAATCACAGGATCAAAGCGGATGGCGGTCATGATCAGCATCCTGATCCCGCTCCTCAACGCGATAGTCGGACTCGCGTGTGTCGCGATGATGGGGATGGATCATGCGGACGGGTTCCTGTTCCTGATCCTCTGCGCCAGCGCTTCGTACATCGCTGTCCCAGCGGCGATGAAGCTCGCCGTTCCCGAAGCGAACGAGGGGCTCTACCTCCCGATGGCGCTGGGACTGACCTTCCCATTCAACATCACGCTCGGGATCCCGCTCTACTTCGCGATGAGCGGCTGGGTCACGAACTGATCCGGATCGAGATCTCGAAACAATTCCGAGACGCATAGAGTTCATGTATCTATGGAAGCGTTCCTCTCTGAACTCTGGATGATCCTGACCGAATCCTCTGTCTGGCTCGTGCTCGGATTCCTGCTCGCAGGCGTTGTGCATATGCTCGTGCCGCGCGAATGGATGCTCAAGCATCTCGGGGGGAAAGGGATCATCCCGATCCTTAAAGCATCGCTGCTCGGGATCCCGCTGCCGTTGTGTTCGTGCTCTGTGATTCCTGTCGCGGCCGGACTACGCAAGCAAGGCGCGAGTAAGGGGGCCAGCGCGGCGTTCGCGATCTCGACGCCTCAGACCGGAGAAGAGTCCATCCCGCTGACCTGGGCGCTGTTCGGACCGGTCTTTGCGCTGGCGCGTCCCGTGATCGCCGTCATCACCGGACTCATAGCGGGACTGCTCATCGATCTCACCCACAAGCAAGAGCACAGCGACGAGGGGTCCATCGAGGACCCCAGCGCAATCGGACTTGCGATCACCAACGCGGATGATGCGTCGAGGGTCGTCGAGTCGATTGAATCCAGAACAACAAGCTCATGCTGTTTATCGGAACCAAAGCAAATCACTTCCTGTTGTTCATCAGAACCACAGACCAATGATTCGTGCTGCTCATCCGCGCCCGCTCCGACCAAGCGTGGATTGATCGGCGGCATCGCTGAGACCTTCCGCTACGGATTCTCGGTGATGCTCGTAGATCTGGTTGTTTGGCTGACCGCTGGTTTGCTCATGGCGGCGCTTATCGGCGCGCTGGTGCCTCAGGGATGGATCGAAGAACACGTCGGACAAGGTCTCCTCCCGATGCTCCTGATGCTTGTCGTCGGGATCCCGCTGTATATCTGCGCCACCAGTTCGACACCCTTCGCGTTTGGGCTCGTCGTCGCTGGGTTGTCTCCAGGTGCGGCGCTCGTGCTGCTGCTCTCAGGTCCCGCGACCAATGTCGCGACGATGAGCTGGATGCTCAAAGACCTCGGCGCCAAAGCGCTCACCATCTACCTCGCAACGATCGCCGTCATCGCACTCGTGTGCGGCATGCTCTTTGACGCGTTCTTCAAGCACATGGTCACGCTCGCGGACCTCAACCAGCACCACGAGCACGGCATGGGTGGATTCGGATACAAAGAAGTCTTCGCCGTGCTCTTCATCATCCTCACCGCTTGGGCACTCGGAAAGAAGTTCAGCAGCTGGCTCGATGCGAAAGGCATCGGGACCAATCCAGCAGCAGGCGGATGCGCCAGCGGTTCGTGCGGGTGCTCAAGCAACTCTGCACAAGAAAAACCCGCTCCGAAGAGCGGGTGCTGTGGTTCTTGATTGAAGCGGAACACTTAGCCGTTCTCGACAACCTGCGCCAGCAAGCGAGCGCCAAATCCGGTCGGTCCCGGATTGATCGGTCCCTTCGCAGACTTTGTCGCGTGTGTTCCCGCAATATCAACATGCGCCCACTTGACGCCTTCATCGACAAAGTGCTCAAGGAACGCGGCTCCCTGGATCGGGTGCGCCTCGCGGACCGGAGCGCTGTTGAGGATGTCCGCGATTGGGGACTTCATCAGCTTGGAGTACTCCGGATCAAGCGGCAAGCGCCAGACGCGCTCGCTGGTCTGCTGTCCCGCGTCGATGAACTTCTGCGCGATCGCGTCGTCGTTGGACCAGAGTCCCGCGAATGGTGATCCCAGCGCGACGACCACGCCGCCGGTCAATGTCGCCATGTCCACGACAAACTCTGGGGATTCCTTCTCGCATGCCCAGCATAGTGCGTCGGCCATGACGAGGCGTCCTTCCGCGTCGGTGTTGGTGACTTCGACCGTCACGCCGTTACGGAACTCGATGACATCGTCTGGTCGGTACGCCTCGTCGGAGATCGAGTTCTCCGCGGCTGCGAGCAGCGCGATGACGGGACGGTTTGGCTTGATGACGTTGGCGATGATGTGCATCGCGCCGATGACGCCGCAGCCGCCGTCCTTGTCGCGTTTCATGCCGACCATGCCGCCGCTGATTTTGATGGAGAGCCCACCAGAGTCGTAGGTCATGGTTTTGCCGACGAGGACGATCGGTGCTTTGGACTTGCCGCGAGCTGGGGTGTATTCCATGCGGATCAAGCAAGGCCCGTTCTCCGATGCTTTCCCAACATTGATGAGCCCGGTCATTTTCTCGTCTTCGAGCTTCTTGCCGCTCATGACGGTGCACTTCATCCCGCTCTTGCGCGCGAGCTTCTTGCACTCGTTGGCCATCCACATCGGGGTCGCGATATTGGGTGGGGTCTGCGAGAGTGTGCGAGCGATGTTGGATCCCTCAGCGAACCCCAGTCCGCGCTTGAAGCCGTCGTCGAACTTCGCGTGCGATCCGGTGACGGTGAGCGCTGGGTGTTTGGTAACAGTGGTCGCGGTTCCGCGCAGGTCGTCGTAGCTCCACGAGACGAGACCGAACCCTTCGCCGAGCATGGTGCCGGCGTCGAACGGATTGACCTGTGCTTTCTTGGAGAGCTTGCTCATCGCGCCGCTGAGCGCGAACTCGACGCTTGTCACGCCTGCCTTGCTGATCGCTCGACCCAGTGCGCCGCCCGCGTTGCGGAGCGATGCGACATCGAAGCTGGACTTGTCTCCCAATCCCAGCACGAACACGGCTTGGTGTCCATCGCTCGGGAAGAGGGTCGTGACCGATCCGACATCGGCGCAGGAATCGGATCCCTTGACGAGCGCCGCGATCGAGCCGTCGCTGTCGAGTGATTTGGTGTCCTGATCAAGGGATTGACCTTTGAACACGCCGACGATGACCGCTTTGGGTTTAGAGCGTGCGTTGACTTTGATCGAGCTAAACATTTCAGAATCTCCTATTTTTCTGAATGATTATATCAGTGCAATGGACTCGAGTTGCACACGAGCGTTGATGATGCTTGAGAACCAACCCATCTGTGCCGTGTCTTCGCGAGAACATGGGAATGTAGACGAGGAATACCTGTTTATCTTGAAAAAACAGCGATATGCATCAACAACGAGATCATGTAGATGCTTGCGCTTTCGCTTCAAAGAGCGCTTTGACCTCTCCGGCGAGATAGAAACTCCCCATAATCAGGAGCAGATCATTGGGACCGATCGTCTTGCCCGCGGCTCGGATCGCTTGCGTCGCGTCGGGATACGACTCACACGATCGTTTCGTCAGTTCTGTGTAGCGCTGCGCCAGATCATCGGGGTTCGCGGCTCTCGGATTGCCGGATGCTTTGGTGAAGATCACCTTATCGACGCGCGTCTCAAACTCATTGAGCATGTTGTCGATGCGTTTGTCGCTGCTGCATCCGAAAATCAGGATCAGCGAGTCGAAGTTCACCTGTTGAGCCGCGGCATTCAGTGTTTCGCGCACGCTCTCTGCCGTATGTGCTCCATCGATGTATACCTTTGGGCGCGCCTTGACCTGCTCGAGTCGTCCTTCGCGAGGGGTGTGCTCGAGTCCCGCGATAATCTGTTGTTCAGGGAGATCAAAGCCATGCTTGCGGAGCTCAAGGATGATCGCGAGCGCCAAGCCACAGTTCGCGCCTTGATGCTCACCAAGCAACGGGACGGACATGTGCTCGAAGCATCCCTCACCCTCTCCGACACACACCTTGGGATGCGGACCACGCATCGTCGCGGACTGGAATCGGCACGAATACAGCAAATCCTCTCCAAGCACGCGGAGCGGACATCCGACTTCCTGCGCGTGATTGCGGAAGACCTCGATGACTTCGTCCTGCTGAGGAACAGTGATCGCCGGCGCGTCGGGTTTCATGATCCCGGCTTTCTCGCGAGCGATTTTCTCGAGCGTATCCCCAAGCACTTCGGTGTGTTCGAGCTGGATGCTTGTGAGCCCCACCACCATCGGTTTGACCACATTGGTGCAGTCGAGACGACCACCCAATCCAGTCTCCAGGATCACGATGTCCACGGCTTGCTGAGCGAAAACAACGAACGATAACGCTGTAACAAGCTCGAAATAGGTTGCTCTGCCGTGGTCATTCTCGATCGAGAGCGCGGCGTCCTTGCACACCGCGAGTGCATCAACGAAAAGCTCTTTGCTGATGTTTTGCCCGTTGATTCGGACACGCTCTCGCTCGTCAGTGAGGTGTGGGCTGGTAAAGAGTCCGGTCGTGTAGCCGCTCGATCTCAAGCAGCTCTCCAGCATCGCGCAGGTCGATCCTTTGCCTTTCGATCCAGCGATATGCACGACGGGGACGGCGAGGTGCGGATCTCCGAGCGCCGCGACGAGCGCCGTCATCCGATCGAGCTTGAATGACTCCGATGAGACTTTGCTCGAATGGATCTGCTCAAGATTGACGCGCGAGTTGAGGAAGTCGAACGCGGCACTGGAATCCACGAATGGACCAGCGGCTTCTTCGGGCGCTGACTTGGTTGCAGAATTGCGGCGCGGCATGGGATCAATCATAACCAACTCTGGGAAATTTCAAAGCACAAAATCCATGAAGTCTTTGATCTCAGTAATCCCACCTATAAGCGCGCTGTTGTTCGGCGCACTCTACTGATTCGCGAGCGTCATCAATCTTTTCATTTCCGCGACGGCGCCGCGCAGTCCGACAAACACGGCTCGCGCGACGATCGAATGACCGATGTGCAGTTCGTCAATGCCTTTAAGTGACGCGATGTGATTGACATTGTGGTAGTTGAGCGCGTGTCCCGCGTTGAAACGCATGCCGTGGGAGGAGATCCGTTCGCCGGCGCGGCGTACATGCTCGATCGCTTCCACGAGCGCTTGCTGTCGTAAGTCTCCCCCTGATTGATGGAACGCTTTGGCGTATGGACCCGTGTGCACTTCGCAGACATCGAACCCAACTTCAAACGCCGCATCGACTTGTGCGTCTTCGGGATCGATGAACGCGCTGACAATCAGTCCCGCGTCTTTGAGCTTCGCGACGACATCTTTGAGCCGATCGCGTTGTCCCACGATGTCCAAGCCGCCTTCTGTCGTGACCTCCTGGCGCCCCTCTGGGACCAGCATCGCTGTGTGAGGCTTGATCTGCGTCGCGATCTCGACCATCTCGTCCGTCGCAGCCATCTCGAGATTCAGCTTCACGCGCACCAGATTCCGCAATAAGCGGACATCGCGGTCCATAATGTGCCTGCGATCTTCACGCAAATGCACCGTAATCGAGTCCGCGCCGCCGAGTTCCGCTTCGTGCGCGGCGCGCACTGGATCGGGCTCAGCGCCGCTGTTCATCGGATCAGGTTGACCCGGGTAGCGAGCGTTGCGGACGGTTGCGACATGATCGATATTGACGCCGAGCTGGATCATGGGTGAGTATAGGAATCCTTGAATCTGATTGATCTGACTTACTGCTTTACACGCTCGATCGCGGCATTGAGTGCTCTCGTCTGCGATGCATTGTCGATTTTGGAGCGAAGCGACTCCATAAATCCGATCGCTTCTTGGCGCGATTCCGCTTTCATGATCATCGCGAGCTCTTCCGCATCCTCGACCTCTTGCCATTTCCGCAGATGCGTGCGCATGAGCGCCATTGCTCGAGGGTCTTGTAATCGGGTTAGTTGGTATCTTGCCGCGAGCCACATCGTGTCCATCACGAGCGTGTCGCTGCGCTCCTCGACAGACAATCGCTCGAACGCATCAAGCACCAACTCGTGCTCGTGCTTGCGAAACGCGGCAAGGAGCAACAGCTTCGTCCCTTCGTCGTCGATCGCTTCTGGACGATCGCGGAGTAGTGCCCCGCCGAGCCGGACCACGGCATCATCTTTCCCCGCGAGCACGAAGTCATTGATCGCACCGTTAAAATCGCTCTCCTTCAGTTTCGCTTTGGCGCGATCTTCTAGATCTGTCTCCGAGAGTCCGAGTGCTTGTGAGATCTCGGATGGGACTTGGGTGAATCGTGTGCCGCATGGGCTAATGGTTTTGAGTGGATCTCCGATCACAGTGATCTTCCACGCTTGACCATCGTCGTAATGCACCGCCCCTGCGAACGGCATCCGAGCCAGCAATCGCTGCGCCACAAACGGCGTCGGAACAAACCCGGATAGATAGGGTTCATCAACCGATCCGGCGTACAGATACACCCCACGCTCGATCCATCGTCCCCCAACCGTGCGTGTGTTGTGCGGAGCCGCGAGTGAGAATGAATGCACCATATGCAATGCGCTCGGCATCGCTAAATACGGAAGGTCTCCCGGCTTCCCTGATCCATCACGCGCGCCTGGAAGATCGTAATACCCCGGAGTGCCTTTCGAGTTCATTAAAATCAGCGATGCATCGACAGGTCTGGAAGCGGCTCTCCCCTTGAATCCCGCGAGCGTGTTGCGCGGCGTATCAAAGAGTTCCACCTCAAAGTCCGCTTGTTTGAGCACTGTTTCCGCAGCAGTGCCGTCGTAGCGCGCCCAGTCTCCTGTCGTTGGATATCCGTCCCAGATGAAGGCGCTCTCGATCGGGAGAAAGATCGAGCACATCGCTTGGTAGATCGAAGTGGCGCTGGATCCTTTGAACTGTCCGGACCATGCCCAGCGTAATCCGCCCATGGATGCTTCGGTGCGTCCGATCTGATCCGTCGTCGCGAGGATGTCACGCTCGCCGGGACCAGTTTTAATCTTGACCCCTACACCGATCGCGAGTGTGATGGAATCGATGTCGTCGCCGATCTCATCGAACTCGAGTTCTAGCTTGCGCAGTCCTTGTTCGATCCCAAGATTCAGAGATCGTGCGTGTGAAGGCGTGAGATCAGCGTGCGGATGCTCTGGATGGCTGTAGTAGATGATCGGCTGGAGACGGCCCGCCGCGAGTGCGAGTCCCGCGCCCCAGTGTCGATACATCGGATCGATGATCACCACTCCAGGCGACACGATCCCGGTCTCTTTCAGAGCCTTGAGCGTCACCTTCCAGTCGGACTCCGGCTCATGTATCGCTGCAGCGAACGCCGCATTGATTCGATCTTGGCGCTGCTGATCGCTGCCCCCCCACGCTTGTTCGCTCTGACCTTTGAGTCGATACACATGATCGGGTCGATAAGTGCGCACGAATCGTGCGATGTGGTCCTTCGCGACGAGTGTGCCGTCGTCGTAGAGGATCGGGAACTTAACTGGTCCTTCCCACGCACTGATCGCGTCGAGGTACTTCGATAGGTCATCCACGATCACGACGATCGGGAGCGTCTGCATCGCTTGCGAGAGCAGCGATGCACGCAGTCCGGCTCGTCGATTCGCGTCCATGTTATCGATGGACTTATACAGCTCGTTGAAGCTCATCCCCTGCGACTGAGGGACAGGATCTGGAGCAGGCGCATCCTCTGGGATCGTATTGGTCTGTGCGTACACAGCACTGGACAACAAGAGCGCGAGCAGTGTGAGCGAGCGAGAGCGGGATTTGATCAGCAACATCATCTCTGTACTGTACCGCTCCGGACTGCTCTGGGTTCACACGGATCTCGAATCGGTCCCAACTGCGTATCCCGATGCGCATAGACTGGGGTTCATGCCGTCGTCCACGATTTCCGAGTTTATGCAGACGATCCACGATGCCCGAGCACAAGGCAGCGATGTCGTCGTGGTCCCGCTCTCGATCCGCGTGCTCGCGGACCAACTGACCCCCGTGCTCGCGTACAGAAGACTGGTCAGCGCCGATGAACGCACGGCTCCCTCGTTCCTGCTCGAATCAGTTGAAGGCGGGACTCATCAGGGACGACACTCCATCCTCGGCTCATCTCCGATCATCGAGCTCGTCGCGAAAGACAACGAGGTCATGATCCATGATCATCGCGTGAATCAATCTGCGAGCGAGTCGTGCGATGATCCGCTCGCGAAGGTTCGTCAGATCACGCAGAGCTGGGATTTAGCAATCCCGCATGCCGCTCGCGATCGCAACCTGATCCCTGATTGTGTGTTGGGAGGATGGTTCGGATACGCGGGATACGACTCGGTCCGCTACGCCGAACCCACCAAACTCAGCACGGCACACGCGCCTGAGGACGATCGCAATCTCCCCGATGTGTCGTTTGGGTTCTATGACACACTCGTCGTGTTCGATCATGTCGAGAAACTCGTGCACCTTGTTCGCCTTGCGATCATCAATCCCGATTCGGATATCGAATCGGTGTACAAACAATCGATCGACGACCTCAACGCGCTCGCTGAGAAGATCCAGAACCACACCAAGCCGTTGGTGCTTGGAAGAGTCTCGCGTGATCCGAGCACGAAGAACGCGCCGATGCCCGCGAATATCAGCACGGATGATCATGCGTCGATGATTGAAACAGCGCGTGAGTACATCAAAGCAGGAGACATCTTCCAGGTCGTGTTGGGACATCGCTTTGAGCGCCGGACCAATGCGGATCCGTTTGATGTGTATCGAGCGCTGCGAGCTGTGAATCCATCGCCGTACATGGTGTATCTGCAAACACAGGGATGTATCCTGGTCGCTTCGTCTCCTGAGATTCTCTGTCGCGTGCGCCGTGATGATCAGGATCGACTGGTCGTCACAAATCGTCCGCTCGCGGGAACGCGCCGGCGCGGACGCACAAACGAGGAAGACCTCGCGCTTGAGCGTGAGTTGCTCGCGGATCCCAAGGAGCGCTCCGAGCATTCGATGCTTGTGGATCTGGGACGCAACGATGTGGGGCGTGTTGCTGAGCCGGGATCGATCAAGATCGAAGCGCTCATGGAGATCGAACGCTACTCGCATGTCATGCACATCTCCTCAACCGTGACTGGTCTTATCCGAGAGGGACTCGATTGCTGGGATGCGCTGCGAGCAGCGCTTCCGGTGGGAACAATCTCCGGCGCACCAAAGGTCCGCGCGATGCAGATCATCGACGAACTCGAACAAGTCCGGCGAGGTCCCTACGGCGGCGGACTCGGATGGGTCGGACTCAACTCCGAGATGGACATCGCGCTCGCTCTGCGCACGATCGTCGTTCCGATTGATAGGATCGATGAATCGAATCCCGATGGTCACTGGGAATACCACATCCAAGCCGCGGGAGGGATCGTTGCGGATTCCGTTCCTGAGCTGGAGTTCAAAGAGACAGTCAATAAAGCCGCGGCTTTGGGACGAGCGATCGACCTCGCTGAGGACGCGTTCCTCGAAAAATGAAGAACCCCGCATCGTGCGGGGTCGAAGAGAGATGCTGTCGTATCTCTGTTGATCTGATCGGCGTCCATTGAGGAGATCGGGTCAGGCGCCGAGATCAGATCATGTGAAACTCATGGAGCGGAGCGATCACTCAAGCGTTCTGCATGCCGTTGGTGTGCAGTGTTTCCTTGAGCTGCTGCGATGGCTTGAACGAGCAAGTGGTCGATTCCGCGATCTGGATTGGTTGCTTGGTCGCTGGATTCATTCCTGTACGAGCCGCGCGATGCTTTTTGGTGAATGTCCCGAATCCTGAGATCGCGACTTTCTGTTCTTCCTGGAGTCCTTGCGAGATCGATGCGATGACGGCTTCAATGGCGCGTCCTGCATCAGCCTTGCTGGTCTCGAGCTGGGAAGCGACAGAGTCGATGAGGTCGGATTTATTCATTTGGGGCGCCTCCATGAGTTTGGGTGCTGCGTGTGCGTGCTGTGCCTGGTCTTCCTTGACCCGGCTTCCGATTTGGATTTATTCGGACATAACACGGCAATCGCATGAATTTCCCCATACGCTGGGTCTATCAGCCGCATCAAGGATCAGAAGATTCATCGCATCCAAGTCAACAATTCTGCTCGATATTCATTCTGTAAACTATTGAGAACCATAGAGTTGAGCACATGAGCCCCCCACTCGCGATTGTGACCGAACCCCTTGCCCCCCAACCACTTCAGTGGCTCAGCGATCGCTGCGAACTCGTCCAATGCGCAACGAGCGATGCTCGATTCGATGAACTCATCACGCGTGCTCAGGCGCTCGTCGTCCGGACCTACACCAAAGTCGATCAGCAACTCCTCGATCGAGCACCCAATCTCAAAGTCGTCGCACGCGCCGGCGTTGGACTGGACAACATCGATCTCGACGCGTGCAAATCGCGAGGGATCCGCGTGGTCCATACCCCGCACGCGAACGCGATGTCTGTTGTGGAATACACGATCTCGATGATGATGCGGGCGCTGCGTCCGATCCATTCGATCACTCAATCGCTCGATGTATCATCATGGCACCAAGCACGAGAGGACGCGATCACTGAAGGTTCGGTTGTCGGAACGACGCTCGGTGTCATTGGATTGGGATACATCGGATCGCGCGTGGCGCTTGCTGCGAGCGGATTGGGGATGCGAGTCGTGCACAACGACCTGCGCCAAATCGAAGCGCCGTCGCAAGCGTGCTCGTTCGACGATCTGCTCAAAGAGGCTCGAGTCGTGTGTCTTCATGTGGACGGGCGTGCATCCAACAAGCACTTGATCAGCTCAGAACAGTTCACGATGATGCGTCCTGATGTGGTGCTGATCAATGCTTCGCGTGGGTTCGTCATCGATCCTGTCGCGGCAGAGCGTTTCGCGGCGCAGAATCCGGACACTCGACTCATCTTTGATGTCCACGATCCCGAACCGATCGATCCCAACTCTGGTTTGCTCGGACTCCCCAATGTGATCCTGACCCCTCACATCGCCGCGGCGACGAGACAGGCAAAGACGGCGATGAGTTGGGTTGTGCGCGATGTCCACGCTGTGCTCGAGGGCCATGAACCGATCCATCCAGCGTGTTGACTCTCGATAGTGTGTGAATTGCGTTCAATTCGCATGCTCATCCCTCGTGAAATGCAACCATGCGGCTTTTTGAAGCGAATATGGGGACGGCAGCCGTTCTTTGGTTGCTCGTTTCGTTCGATCTGAACGGAATGGCTGATTCGATCAGCAGGAAATGACAAGGACAGGTTCTCGGACCTATCAGGAATGGTGTTTGGAGCTCGTGGGCAATGAGCGTCCGATTCCGTTGCAGACGGCACAGAATCCATGGATTCTCGCCTGCGATCGGCGATTCCCCTTGAAAAACGGGGAAATTCGGGCATGCTCTGCGTGCACACCCGGCTTGTGATCCGCGCACGGTTCACGGCTTGGGATGCGTTCTCGATCGGCTCAGTGAGCCATTGACCAAACTGACGCGCAGGAACGCGTCTAAAGAGATGGGATAACAGTCATGAAGCAATCAGCTCTCCACCAGATCATGAATACAACATCCGCTGCAGCACTTACACTCGCGCTGATCAGTGGCACAACGATCGCAGGAGACTCCTACGCGAGTCCAGGAACGAAGCCTGCAAACGGGACGATGATCTCCGGCGTCGCGACTCCTGTCTCTTTGACGAGCACACAAAAGAACACGATCCGCAACGCATTTAACTGGAGTGATCGTGATGCATCGCTCCTCGACGGCACCATCTCGCCTACAACGGTGTTTACCGAAGTCATCGGACTCAAGGAACGCACCAACCGACTCAATGTGCAGGTCAAGAGCACCACTCAGATGCTCCAAGAGGTCGCGAGAGATGCCGCGATTGCTCGCGCTGACGGACCTCAGATCCTCGGCGTCGCCCGTGATGGACAGGTCCAAGACTGGGACACCGTCATGGCGCAGGTCGAACAACGACGCATCGACGCACGCTCGCGTCTGGCGCCATCGCTCATCGAAGCGTTCGACGATGTCGATATGCACACGATCCATCTGCCTGCAGGAGTCAGCGCCGAGACCATGGCGGAGATCCTCATGCAGACTGGAGACTACGAGTTTGTCTCCATCGATTGGCTCTGCTACCCAACCGATACCATCCCCAACGATCCACGCATCAACCTGCAGTGGTACCACCCCTCCACGCGCATCGACACCTACGGCGCATGGGACTTCACCACAGGGAGCGGTGAGATCATCGCTGTCTGTGACTCTGGTGTAGACATCGACCACCCAGACCTGCAAGCAGCGCTGGTCCCAGGATACAACGCGGTCAACAACCTCGCTGAAGTCGACGGCGGGTTCGTCGATGACAACCTCACAGGACACGGCACTCAGGTCGCTGGTGTCGCCGCGGCGATCGGGAACAACAACGAAGGCATCTCCGGCATCGGATGGAACTTCGGGATCATGCCTTGTAAGGTCTCCAACATCGCGTCAGGGAATGCTTTCCTCTCCGACATCCTTGAAGGCGCTCGTTGGGGTTCCGACAATGGCGCATATGTATCGAACTGCTCCTACGGAGGTGCGGAAGATCCCGCGAGTTTCTCCTCAGGTGCACACATCCGTGTTGAAGGACACCACCTCGTCTTTGCATCAGGGAACGACGGCGTAGGCAACCAGACCAACGACTGGGACACGGTCACCATCGTCGGCGCATCGAACTCCAGCGACAACTACGCCAACTTCTCGAACTTCGGGGTTGGTGTTGACTGTATTGCGCCAGGCGCAAGCGTCCAATCCACCACACGAACGGGCGGATACGCCAACACAACCGGAACAAGCTTTGCCGCTCCGATCACCGCTGGCGCACTCATGCTCGTGCACTCCGCGAATCCTTCCAACGGACCTGCGGAAGTCGAGTCGATCCTCCTCAACGCGTGTGACGACAAAGAAGGTCCAGGCGAAGACAACTTCACGGGACACGGACGCATCAATGTCGGACGAGCTGTTGAAGACGCGATCTTTGGTCCTTCGCTCATTAGCCTTCCATACATGGATGAGTTTAACGATCCAACACTCGCGCTCTGGCGCGACGCGATGGGAGATGTCGAGGTCAACGAGGATGCGATGAACGAGCCGACCCCGGGCGGATCACTCAACCTCGGATCAACAGCAGAAATCAACACCATCATGGTCCGCTGCAGCGAACTCCAGTTCACGACCGGCGAGATCAACTTCCAGACACAACACATCGGGACCGAAGCGGGCGAGGACCTGCTCGTTGAATATCGCACAGTCCTCAACACATGGGACACACTCGCGGTTATCCCATCAGACGGCAACGATCAGAGCGAGTTCACCTTCCATCGCTATGAGTTCCCGTTCCTCGGATTCCATGATATGTTCCGTTTGCGTTTCTCCACCACTGGTGACGAGTCCAACGACAACTGGTATGTCGACGATGTCAACATCCAGTACTTCACTGGAAATACGGTTCCATGGTTTGTCGATTTCGAGAACGGCGTATCGCTCAACTTTGACTGGGAACTCAGCGAAGGGATCGCAAGTGTTGCCGCGGACAACGAACCGTCCGGAACACAGAGCGTGAACCTCGACAGCGATGATTCCATGACCTCGCAGGGACTGGATATGACAAGCGAAGTCCCGCCTGTCTATGTCCAGTTCTACACACAGCACAAGGGTGTTGAGAACGGCGAGTCACTCCATGTCGAGTACCTCGACCTGCTCGGGACTTGGCAAGACCTGATCACCGTCGTTTCTGATGGCGTAGACCAGACCGAGTTTGAACTTACACAGCTTGAACTGCCGATCTTCGCGTTCGGCGGGAACCTCAAGCTCCGCTTCACCGCACAAGGCGATGAAGCGAACGATGACTGGTTCATCGACAATATCGCGATCACCACTGAGTTCATCGACGAGGTCGATCCGTGTCCAGCGGATCTTAACGACGACGGCTCACTCAACTTCCTTGATGTCTCAGAGTTCCTCACGCTCTACGGGCAGCAGGACCCATCGGTTGACTTCCAAGCCGACGGTACATTTAACTTCCTCGATGTCTCCGCGTTCCTTTCCGCATACGGGATGGGATGCCCATAAGAGCACATCGTTCAACTTAGCCACTTACTCATGTCCCGCGGCTTGGACAGTCGCGGGATGTCATTAGGAGACCAACACCAATGTCTTTCAAACTCACTCTTGCCAAAGCGACCACGGTGGTTGCACTCATGACCGCTTCTGGACTTGCGACCAATGCGTTCGCGGGACCAAACGCGGACGCACCTAAGAACACGCAGAGCGAATCCATCTCGGCTTCAGCAAAGCTTGACGCGGTCAAAGCATCGTTCAATCTGCTCGCGGGCGATGAGCAACGTATGCGCGACGCGCTCCAGAACCCACTCCAGTTTGTTGAGGTGCAAGGATCGCGCGAATACACACGCGAGCTCATCGTGCATGCGAAAGAAGGGAAAGTCGCACCGGCTCAATCACGGCTTTCTCGATCGATGGTCAAGTCCAGCGCGTTTGTGAACGAGTATGTCGTCAAGGTTCCACAAGGCGTAAGCGAAGGCGAGATGGCCGCGATGCTCATGTCGACTGGAGACTATCTCTTTGTCGAACCCAACTGGACCCTCTTCCCGCTCGCAATACCGAACGATTCACAGTACGGCTCGAGCTGGCAGCACAACCGGCTGCAGTCCGCGAGCGCGTGGGATCTGCATACCGGTGACAGCGACATCATCGTCGCCGTCTGCGACTCAGGTGTGGACACCAATCACCCTGATCTTGAAGACGCGTATGTCCCAGGATACAACGCGGTGAACAACCAAGCCGAGGTCAACGGCGGACAGGTCGAAGATGTCAACGGACACGGCACATTCGTCTCGGGATGCGCCGCGGCACAAGGCAATAACGGACGCGGCGTCGTTGGAGTCGGCTGGGACTTCAGCGTGATGCCGATCCGCGTGAGCAACAACTCCAGCGGCACCGCGAGCGGATTCGACATCCTCGAAGGCGCCCGTTGGGCAGTCGATAACGGCGCTCATGTCGTCAACGCGTCGTTCTCTGGTGGGTCAAGCGGCTCAAACCAGGTCGCGGCTCGGTACATCATCGATCGTGGCGGACTGCTCTTCTGGTCGTCCGGAAACGACAACAACCTGATCACATACGATGGACCTGACATCGTCATCGTCGGATCCACAACATCCTCGGACAACAAGTCAGGGTTCTCGAACTTTGGACCTGCGGTTGACATCGCTGCTCCCGGATCTTCTGTCCGCTCCACTCGGCGCGGCGGGACCTACGGCAACGGATCGGGGACGAGCTACGCATCCCCAATCGCCGCGGGTGTTGGCGCGATGATTTACTCAGTTCGAGATGATCTGAGCGGGCGCGATGTGCAAGACATTTTGTATCGCAGCGTCGATGACCTCGGAGCTCCTGGTCGCGACGATGCGTTTGGTCGTGGACGCGTCAACACACTCAATGCGATCCAGGAAGCACAAGCCTATGTGCCGCGCTACAACCTGCCGATTGATGAATCGTTTGACTCCGCTTCGTGGAGTGAGGTCTTCGATAGCACCGGCACCCCAGCAACTGTACCAGATGCTGAATCAGGTGCTGGGTCAGTGCTGGAACTCAACGGCAATGACCAGATTACATCGGTCTTCCTCGCCGGTCGTTCCGCGGCAACTTTCCCAGGAATCAGCTTCTCGTTCCGCACCATCGGTGTTGAATCGGGTGAGTCCCTGCTTGTCGAGATCCTGACCGAAGAAGGCAGCTGGGAATCGGTGTACGACTACGCGTCGACAGGAACAGACAGCGATGGATACATCGATGTCGCGCTCCAGCTCCCAACAACCTTCCTGTGGCACGGCGTCCAACTCCGCATGAGCACCCCTGGTTCGGACATCAACGACCAATGGCTCATCGATAATCTCTTCGTCGGAGCTCTGGAAGCGGAACCGACCGCACCGCTCGTCGATTCATTCGACTCCGGACTCATCTCGCCACTCAAGTGGGACGACATCGACGGCGCAAGCGTCGAGGTTGTTGGTGGAACTTACGCAGCATCTATGAGCGGAGAAGCAGTTCTGGAATCACAGGATGTCGCGATGTTCCAGTTCGGGATCATCCCAGGATTCATCCACTTCGATCTCTGGGCCGACGCGAACGCTGGAGCAGATGACACCATCCTCGTCGAAGTCCGCAATGTGCTCGGCTCTTGGGACACACTCGACACACTCGACGGCAGCGAGCTCGGCTCCTCGCCGCAGGTGTTCCAGTACCAAACCCCTCCTGCTGCGTGGGGCAACGACATCGGTCGAGTCCGCTTCACCACTGCGGGTGATGACGCGATCTATATCGACAATGTGTACTACGGCCCAGATGAACTCACACAGATGTGCTCACCAGCAGACTTTGCCGAGCCGTTTGGTCAACTCAACTTCCTCGATGTATCCGGATTCCTGACCGCCTACGGCAATGGGGATCTGTCCGCGGACCTCGACGGAAGCGGGACCTTCAACTTCCTTGATGTGTCCGAGTTCCTGAGCGTCTTCGGAGCTGGATGCCCGTAAACACATCATCCTCATAAAGAACAATCAGCCGAGCAGAGACCCACTTCTGCCCGGCTGATTTTTTGCGCTGATCACTCAGCTTGCAAACCTCGTTTCAGTTGCCTTATGGACAACCCGCGCCGTATTGAAGCAGGAACTCTGAGATGTCCAGGAAGTTGAACTGCCCGTTGTCGTCCAGATCCGCGATTGGATCTTGTGTGCCGTACGCGCTGAGGTACGCTGAAACATCGAGGAAGTTGAGTGAGCCATCACCTGTGAAGTCCGCGACACATCCCTGATCCTGCTCACACACAAACTGCGTGATCCGGATATTGTCGAGTCCTGCTTCGATGACATTCTGCTGACCAACATCGTCCGCGATGAATCGGAACCGCATCGTCGAAGAAGAACCAATCTCATCTCCCACAACGATCGTGTCGCTGCGCCACGCGCCAGCAACGCTCGTGCTCGACCGAAGCGTCGTCCAGCTCGATCCTCCGTTGGTGGATGCCTCGACGACCCAAGCGTCGCCGTTGACTTCGCCTGTCGGGATGTCGGAGTACCAGAAGTCGAACGAGAACTCTCCGCCGTCGCTCATGTCGTAGATCGGCGAGGTCAGGATTGTCGTCCCGTCATCCACATCGGAGTTGCACGAGTTCCCTGAATCGTTGTCCGTGACCCAGCACATCCCCGATCCATCGGAGTCTTCTCCCGGAGCGCCTCTGCTTGAACAATCTACGGGCACGCCACGAGTCCACTGTCCATCGAGCGCATCACCGCTGACAGTCCAGCCGTTGTCGCTCTGGAAGTTGTCCGTGAGCACGAGTTGGATCTCTCCGACCTCCGAATGCTCCGGATTGCTCGCTCCTGCTGGAGGAGTCACGACTTCCCCAGCAGTCTGTCCGCTCGCGGAGATGTAATACTCCACGAACTCGCCGCACTCAGCGCCAGGGATCGGTCCCGTGTACGAGCCATCGTTGTTATCAATCATCGAAGCGCTTGTGTACCCGCCACTCGCGTATCGGTAGTTGAGCGTGACCGATCCCGGAACGACGGTGTCCACGCCTTCGTTGACGAACGCTGTGATCTCTATTGGTTGTCCAGGAAGGACCGCCGCCGGAGCGGGTTCTGAGAGCGAGAGCGAGAGCAATCCCGCGCCGATATCCAGCGCCGAAGCAATCGCGAAGCTCTGCGGCCCATCACTGACCGATGTACCCAAAACCTGCACTTGCCAAACACCTGATTGTGGATTCTCCACAAAAACCTGCTCGACATTGTTGAGGTGATCCTCTTGCGTGCGCACCGCGCCAGCGCTTGGACTCGATGGATTGAGTGTCCATGGATAATGCCGAGTCCCGCTCGGATCGGTCACGATCAGATCCAGATCATTGACCAGCGCCGGAGAGACATTGGGTGCGCCCGCCGGATCGTCCCAGACCAGAGTGAGCCGGAACGGATCGTCCCCCTCTTCCACCATCACGGTGTAGTTCGCGCTCGTCCCCTGATCGACGCTCTCTTCGCGGAAGTTCCCAGTGCGAAGGAAGTCGATACTGTTGACGGCACGGATCGAACCGTATCCGCTCTGATAGTCTGGACCTGTGTTGAGGATATCTTCAGCGCCCTCGATGAGGATCGCTTTCATGAGTTGATTGGTCGGATCTCCCCACGCCGGATATTGCACTCTGAAGTCCTGAAGTATCAGTGCGCCGACCCCTGCGGCTGTTGGTGACGCCATGGAAGTGCCGCACAGTGAGATGTACTGCGAGTCGCTACCGTCACCTGTCGAGGTGACGCCGTTGTCCCCGCCGCTCTGACATCCCGGCGCGGACACGACTGGGCGCAAGCGTCCATCATCCGACGGCCCCCAACTCGAGAAGCTCGTCATCGAGTCATCATTCGAGTTGAGCGCGCCGATTGAGATCGCGTTCTTGTTATTGCTCGGTGGTGCTGTGGTGCCGTATCCTGTCCCGCATCGTCCGTTCCCGCGTTCGTTGCCCGCGGCCCAGAACACGATGATCGGTTCACCAAGCGAACCACGCACGACATTGTCAATCGTCCCAGCAGTGATGCCATAGTCGCCGTGCCATGCACAGTCGTACCCATTCTGCGCAACATTGGATCCGATCGAGTTATTCGCGATCGATGCGCCGAGCGAGAGTGCGAGCGAGTAATCTGATTCCAGATCTCCCGGATCGGTGTACAAGAATCCTGCTCCGAGACCCCCCGCAACTTCGAATCCGGCGCCGAGGATGTTCACTCCTGGCGCCATCCCACGATGGTTAAAAGTCGTGCTCCCATCGCCACCGATTGTTCCAGCGACATGCGTCGCGTGATAATGCACGGCTGCAGAATCAATGTTCGTTACGCGCCCTGAAAAATCATTATGTGTATCGCGGACAGTCCCGCCGTCATACACGAGAACCGTCACGCCGGTCCCGTCGAGCGAGTACGGTGCTGACTGCGCTGTGTTTACCTGTGTGATCCCACGATTTGACGCATTCGTCACTTCCAGCGGCGGAAGCGGGGGCTCGACCCATTGCACACGCTCGTCGCTCGCGAGCAGCTTCAGGTTCTTATACGGCATCTCCACAACCACTGTGTTCATCGACATGACAACCGAACGCACGCGCCCATTGTGCGCTCGGACCATCGCGTCGATATCTACTGACGACGCGTCCACATCTCGATGGAGCATGACATACGCCGCGACGGTAGGGTTTGTGAGTTCTCCAGCGAGTTCTCCTGATTCGACCTTGACCGAATCAGCGCCGACGATCGACCAATCGGGGATCTCATCGTTCTGAATTGCGGGATGCAACTTATGTGCGGTGGAAATCGGTCCCGCTTCGAGCACACGATCCGCGATCGCGAAGGTGTCCGCATCGATCGCGACGCGCGCAAAGTATGTAGACTCGCTGACAGGACTGAGCAGTTCCAGACCCTCCCCGCTCAGTTGCTCGCGCGTACTCTGATCTGGAGTTTGAGCGAATCGAACGAGTACATACCCGCCGTGCGCTGCTGGCGTGTTCTTGCTGGACGCGTTGAGCAGCACGCGCTGAGCGGGCTCAACACTAAGTCGCGCTTGCTGAGGATTCGCCTGCTCGTTTTTCCACTGCACAGGTGCACTGTGGGCACTCCCGCTGCAATGGACAAGCACCGCGATCATCGCGGGAGCGAAACGGCGCATTGACAGTGGAGTTGGTGTGGAAATCCCGCTGGGTGACCTTGAGAACATATCGGTCTCCGGAATGTCAGTCGATCGCGAGCTCAAACAACACGAGCATCAAACTACCGACTCAAAGCAAAGCGAGCGCCCTTTCGAGCGCCCGCTTGGAAAGTGGTTATGGACATCCCTGCGCGTAGAGCGACAGGAACTCGGACACATCGAGGAAGTTCCACGATGCATCCTCAACAAGGTCAGCGCTCGGATCCTGATTGCCGTACGCAACGAGGAATGCGGAGACATCGAGGAAGTTGAGATCGCCTTCACCAGTGAAGTCCGCAGGACATCCGCCGTTGAACTCGATCATCGCGAAGTCCATCTCGACCTTGGGGCTCTTGCCGTGCAACACCCACTGGTCGTACGCGATCTCGCCGGTACTCGGATTCATCGGATCGACACCAGTCTGATCGTTCTCATCGCGGAGGAACTCGATGTATTCCTTGCTCACAAGCTGGAAGTACACACGAACCTCGGCTTTGGTCGCACCAGCAGGGATCGCGTAATCGGTATCGTCCCAGTACTGCCCGTCCATGTAGGAGTACGCGACTGGTTCGGCTTGCACAGACTCAAACCCGGCGTTCGTGAATCCGCGAGGCGGGATGCGGTTGTCCTTGATCCACACATTGTTCGCGGCGAAGTGGAAGCTCTCACCCTCAGGGATACCGGTCGCTGCTGAAACCGCGGCGTCAACACCAAGCTTCGCTTCGTAGACCTTGGTGTCGCCAGTGGAGAGTACAGCGGTCGAATCGTCGTACGCGCCGTGCTCAGCAACCAGGTTGTTCATGTCGTCCAGGAAGCGGACATTGATCCACATCCGGCGACCTTCAGGATAACCAGTCGGGAGCTTGTGACCAGTCTGGTTGATGATGCGCACATTCAGATTCGAGCCGTCTTCATCAAGCTCAAGATCGGACGCATTCTCAAGCATCATCTCAGCACGAGCTATGGAGTCCGCCGCGAGTTCTGGAGTCAGACCAGTCTCAAGGTCAGGGTAGAGGTCACGCACCGCGTTGAGCACCCAGTTGTTCCCGCCGTTGAAATGGTGCGCCGGCATGTCTGGACGATCCGTCTCATCGATACGGCAAGCGTTCTCAGTCACATCCGGCATGTGACAGTCCTGACAAGTGGAAACCTCGATCTTGTTACCACCGAAGCGTCCACCCATATCGATCGGCGCGATCGCAAAGTCACTCTGCAACCACTCGGAATAGGTCCGTTCGACCGGGAACATGTCGTATTTGTCGAAAGTTTCGTGAGGGGTCCCCAGCGCATTGAGCGCGTAGGTCCCATCGGGCTGCTCGCTAAACGCAGGGTTGGACACATCGTGACAAGTCGCACACATCGCTGAACTCTGATGGAACGGCGATATCTCCCAAGCGTGGAAGAAGAACTCACCAAGATCAAACGGTCCGCGACGACGATCGAAAAAATCCACCACATACGCACCTGTGTGCGGATTTGGAGTCACCTCATCAACACCGTCGTTCAATCCCTTGATCCCTTGGAAGACTTCGAGGTCCGCCATTGGTGTTGGGTTTGGGTTGTCGATGTTCTCCGGATCCACCATGCGGTGACAGAAGTTACACGAAACTCCTTGGAAGTCGATCCCCTCAAGCGCCGAGCCATCTGTTGGTTCCGAGCGGCCGCTCAACCAACCATTCGGTGTGTGACAACGCAGACACAAGTCACCCGCGAACGCAACATCCTGATTCGCGATCGACAACGCCGCGTGGAAAATTGGATCGCGTGTTGCTTGTCCCATCATCGAACTGACCCAACCCTCTGAAGGATCAAAGTCGTGCTCAGGAACAGAGTGACACGCGGCACAGTTGTTCGAGTCCGAGATCGGGTGACTCAATGTCTCAGGCTGCGTACCTGGAAGGAAGAAGTCATCGATCGTGGTCGGCACAGGCGCCGAGATCGCTGAGGTCGCAAGACCAGTCAACGCGATCAATCCAGCCATCACGCCGGTCAATGCTGTTCGGTGTTTATACAAAGCGGCACCGTCTCCAGGACCATTCATCGCACATCCTCCAAGATATTCTTGTGCACAGATCACACGATCCGATCGGATCGTTCATCAATACTATTGTCCCGGAACCAGTGAAAGGATGCAAGAAAAGATCCCGAAATTCGGGATCTTCATGTAGGTTGGTTTGTGACGTTTGAAGTCGATTCCTGCTGACCGATAACCGGTGACAGAATTCGAGCTTCAAATACGAACAGCGTCCTTATGGACAGCCCGCGCCGAACAAGCTCAGGAACAATGAAACATCGAGGAAGTTGTACTGCCCGTCTACATTGATATCCGCTGCGGGATCCTGCACCGCAAACAAACCGAGGAACGCGGACACATCGAGGAAGTTGAGCTGTCCGTCATCTGTGAAATCCGGAGCACAGCTCGGCAGGTCCGCTGTTGCGACGAGCGTCGCTGTTCCAGTCACGTTGACCATCCCAATCTCGCTGCCTTCAACAACCAACGGCTGACTCGTTTCGATCTCGATCGTGTTCGTCAGCGTGATGTCATCTGCTCCCACAACGACCATCCCAGAAATATCGTCCGCGGTAGGACCCAGGTCCGCGAGATTGATAACCTCCGACCCACTCCCAAAGAGGAAGATGTTGTAGTCCACAGTGAGCACACCGCTCACGATCGTCGGCACCATCGGGAAGGTCACATCGCCAGACATGACCGGAACAGGACCCAGAATCGTTCCCGGCTCCGCGTATTCCACCGATCCGCCTGTCAGTGTCGCTGAAGCGGTTGATAGAAACGCCGGTTCCCAGTTGAACATCAGATCGTTATCAATCGCGCCAAAGAAATCATGCAGCGAAGACTCGCTCGGCGCAGCGGGATCATCAAATGATGCCGTTACCATGCCGGAGACTGACGAGCTGTCCGAATCGGTGTCTCCACCCAATGTCCCAAGGTCGATCTCGATCGTGAGATCAATTGAAGACTGCATCGGATCGACCACAAAGTCCAACGGCTGCGCCACAGCACTTGTTGCGAGCGCGATTCCAATGAAAAAGCCAACTGCTTTCATGTTTATACCTTTCGCTTTCCCTGCGTAGCAGGATTGAGTCGATTCACTCTACTCCGATCAACCGCAGGTGCCGCTGTAGATCTGCAAGAACAGGGACACATCGAGGAAGTTGAAACTCCCGTCGCCGTTGATATCACCACGCACATCCGCGGCGCTGTAGAAACTCAGAAACGCGGACACATCGAGGAAGTTGAGCTGCCCGTCACCTGTCAGATCCGCGGCACATGTGAGGACGACGAATACTCTGTTCGATTCATAGATCGCCTTGTATTCCAACCCGGCTGCAGCAGTCGGGAAGACATGATCCGCAAACTCTCCGACGACTGTACCACCAGTGATGATGTCCCAAGTGTCGAGGAACATCGGGACATAGCCGCCATCAAGTTGCACAGTGAGCGTGCCGTCCAGATTGATCGTGTTGCCACCACCTAGCACGAGTCTGTCATACTCGCCGATGAGCAGTCCGCCGAGATCCGCAACCATCCCGCCAGTCGAGCCAATGGTCAGGTCGTCGATCTGGAACTCACGAGTGATTCCCGATGGATCAACAGTACCGTTCATCTGGATTGTGTTCCCGATCTGTCCATCACCAGTAACTGTCTGACCGCTACCAATTGTCCCTGTGAACCCACCAGCCGCAAGAAGCTGCGCATCGTTGCTGTTCCCGGCATTGTTTAGATGAATCGTTCCATTCCCAGTGATTGAAGTGTCCGCAACAAAGGTCATCGCCGCGTTGAAGATATTCATATTTGAGTTAATGGTGATGGTGCCGTTGTTCACCATCGGACCGGCGAGCTGGACTGTCGATCCTTCACCAAAGATATTGAACTCGCCCTCGTTCGTCACATCGCTGATCGACGAGACACCATTCACTGTCATACCTACGGCGCCAGTCCCGCTGCTATCAAATGTCCCGCCGGTCAATGACGATCCGCCAGCGAGTCCAAGGAACCCGTTATCAGCGCGATAGACGCCACCGCCGGACCCGTCGTGATCTTCAAACAACCTCAGCTCAAACGCTGGATCGTCCGCGTTGAATGTACCATTGTTGACGATCACTCCACCGTTGTTCCCACGGATCTGACCGCTTCCGGCAACAGTCTGGCTCGCACCAATGACCGCGCTGAACGCATCAGCGATCCGCATCTGAGCATCACCCAGTTCGTTGATCGCTTGCATCCGAACTGTTCCACTGCCAGTGATCGCCGCGCTCGCATCCGCAAACTGCAGTGTCGCGTTGAAGATATTCATATTCGAGTTCACGAAGATCGTACCGTCGTTGGTCAACGGCCCCGTTAGTGCGAGCGTTCCACCACCGCCTCGGATGCCCATCTCGCCGGCATTGGTGCAGTTCGCGATTGTTGCGGTACCGTTGCCCGTCACTTCGACGATTCCGGATCCAGATGAATCAAAGTTGCCGTTCTCGAGCACAAGACCGTTCCCGAGTCCAAGCAAACCATCGTCTGATCGGTACACGCCGACCCCGTTCCCGTCATGATTTCCTGTCAAACGCAGTTCCTGGAGTGGGTCTTTGCCGACCGGTGCGAAGTTGCCGTTGATGGTCCCGAGATTGACCACCACGCCATCGGTCGCGCCTTCGATGCGTCCCGCGCCCTGCGCGGTTTGGTTCGCTCCGATTGTCAGTGTCGCGAAGTCCTCAGCGCGGATGCGTGCGTCGTTGATGTCTCCAAGCGAGATCATGTCGATGGTGCCGTTGCCGTCTATGGCGACATCTTCGGAGGATACGAGCGTGGTGTTGAACACATTGGAGTTGGAGTTGATTGTGATCGTCCCGTTATTGGTGATCGATCCGCCGAGCCGGACTGTGCCGCCGTCTCCGAACATGTTCATATCGCCGTTATTGGTGATGCCGGAGATTGTTGAGGAGCCATTGTCCGATTTGATGATTGCTCCACCACCGGAGGTATCGAATGTCCCGCCGGTCAAGTCCAACCCATTGCGCAATGAGAGCGTCCCCCCATCGGCACGGTACTCTCCACCGTCTCCGATCTGCGTGCCGTCGATACCCATCGAGAACATCGGATCTGTGCCGGTAATGGTACCTTGATTGACAACAATTCCGCCGCTCCGTCCGTCAACGAGCCCGCTTCCCGAGACCGTTTGACCGCTCCCGATGGTGCCGTTGAACGCGCCGCTGGTAAAAACCTGAGCGTCATTGAAGTCCCCGAAGCTCTTCAACTGCACATCCCCACTACCACCCAATGTTGCTGCTGAATCGAATCGCAGGTGCGCGTTAAACACCGCGTCATTGGAGTTCACAACGATTGTTCCGTTGTTGGTGACATCACCTGTCATCGCAAGGAAATCTGAACTTCCCAAAATATTGATCGTTCCCGTATTGGTGACATCGTTGATGGTCGCCGTACCATTGGTCACTTGGATCACTCCGCCGTTGACAGAGGTCAGCTCACCACCAGTGGTGGTCGAACCATTCCCAAGCAAGAGTGTTGCATTGTCAGCGCCCGCGGATCCCATCACTCCTTGAGTGAATGTTCCCGCAATCTCAAGCCCTGCGCCAGCAGGGTTGTTCGCGAGCACAGTCCCGTTGTTGATGAAGTTCCCCTGGATGCGTCCCGCACCCTCGATCATGTGATTCACATCCTGAGTAACAGTGAAGGTATTGGGCAGAATCGTCGCATCGCCAGGTTCTGTGAGCGCATTCAATACAATCGAGCCGTTCCCTGTGATCGTGCCGTCAGCAACAAAGCTCAAGAACGCGTTGCTCCCTGTGCCTTGTGCGTTGACGAAAACCTCGCCGTTGTTGAGCATTCCCGAATCCATACCCAGAGTTCGGTTCGCATTGATTTCAAGCGTCGCGCCAATGTTGGTGATCAGCAAGCTGTTGATCGTGTAGTTGAAGTTCAACTCAACAACATACGATCCTGAGAGTCCGAGCACCGCGTTCTCGGTATCAATGTCAGGGACACCACCCACCCAGTTCGCCATGTCGCTCCACAGCCCGTTGACTGGTGCCGCCCAATCGTTTCCTTGAGCACTGAATGTGCTCCCCGCAGTTGCGATCATCGCGCACGCCGACAAAGTCATCTTCCGAGTCATTGGTTTCCCCTAATGATTGACAGTCTCTCTCTTTACACAAAATCCGCGGCTCGCGCCACGAGACACATAGGGTAGCACAAGCAACAACGATCTCAAAGACCCAATTGCCCAAAACCCCCCTCACAAGGACCAAATAACACGATCATCACATCAAAAAACCGGTCACCAAACTTGGTGACCGGCTCTGAAATCGTCTGCGATCATGAACTCAGATCAAGGACATCCAGCACTGAACGCCGAGAGAAACGCGGAGACATCAAGAAAGTTGAAAGAACCTTCTCCAGTAAAATCCGCCGCAGGATCCTGATTCCCGAATGCCGCGAGGAACGCGGAAACATCGAGAAAGTTCAGATCACCCTCGCCTGTGAAGTCTGGAAGACACGCTTCCTCACACGCATCAGGGATGCCGTCGTCGTTCTTGTCTGGTGCGCTCGGATTGATGATCTTGAATACACCAGATCCTCGGGTGAAGTAGACCTCGCCGTCTTCGTCCTCACCGAACGAGGTCACACCGAAACCAGCCGCAAACTCTGTGGATCGGCTGTAGCCGTTATCCGGATCGAGCGACCAGATGTCACCTGTGCAGTAGTCCGCGAAGATGTACTTCCCTTGGTAGTCAGTACCAAGCTCACAGCCACGGTACACATAGCCACCTGTGACCGAGCATCCTTGACTGTGGTTGTACACATACTGCGGATCGGTCCATCCAGTCACACCGCAGTTCCCAGTGCTGTACTGCACGAGACCTTCGCGGCAGCGCCAGCCGTAGAACAAGCCACCGACATTGCCAACATTGTGGTTTACTTCTTCCCACGCGTTCTGACCAACATCCGCGATCCACATGTCGCCGTTATCACGATCGAAGGAACAGCGCCAAGCGTTGCGGATGCCGTAGTGGTAGATCTCACCGCGTGTGGTGGAGTCGCCATCGTTCCATGCGTTGCCGGATGGGATGCCGTACTCAAGACCTAAATCCATCGTGTCGACATCGATTCGCAGCATCTTCCCAAGCAAGCTTGCCAGATTCGCCGAACGGTTTCCCGGATCACCACCCGATCCGCCGTCACCGGTCGAAATGTACAGGTATCCATCCGGACCGAACCCGATCCAACCGCCATTATGGTTTGAGAACGGCTGATCAATCTGCATGAGAATCCGCTCTGAAGCAGGATTCGCAACTGTATCAGTCACAGCGCTGAACTCAGAAATGAACGTGTCACCCGAACCGGTATCGCCGGTGTAGTTCACATAGAACTTGCCTTCGCCGTCAGCACCTTCGACCGCGTAGTCTGGGTGGAACGCAAGACCAAGCAATCCACGCTCGCCTCCGGAGCGGACCGGTCCGGTGATATCAAGGAACGGTGTCGCAAGCAGAGTTCCGTCCGAATCGATGATCCGGATACGACCAGCTTGTTCGATCACGAACAAACGGCCTGAGCCGTCGCCCGCGTGAGTCACGAACACAGGTCCCGAGAGACCCGATGCAACACTCTGACTAGTCAACTGCGCCTGAGCGACCGATGCGCCGGCAGCGAGAATACACGCACACACAAGATTCTTCATTCGATGATCTCCCTACAGATCCGATGTTTGATTGATACCAGTCGTCTCAGACGAGCGACATGTTGAGGCAGGTAAAGCGTACACATGGACGAATGTCCACTCAACACAATTCGGCTCAAAAGCCCCGCGGTTCCAATGAATTAGGGATCTGAACGCGAATCAAACCCGATCAAATCAAGGACATCCCTGACCGAACGCGCTCAGGAACGCGGAAACATCGAGGAAGTTGAACGATCCATCGTTATTGATGTCCGCAGCCGTGCTCTGGGCCGAGAACGCGCTGAGGAACGCGGACACATCCAGGAAGTTCGATAACCCATCCGCGTTGAAGTCCGCGACACACGCGACGACACAAGGCAGCGATTCACTGCAGAACAGATCCAATCTTGCCGGCTCTGAACGAGACTCACCCCCCACAGCACCAGCATCAGAGATCACCCACTGCATCCACATCGTCGAACCATCAAGCGCCGGATTGTCTTGGATTGGATAGTGCATAGTGCCGTAGCCCATCCCATCACCGGAACCATTGAGCGTGATCGGACCGACCAGTTGATCGCTCGCGACCACCCCACCAACCGGCGGATTACTCGAGATCGCAACCCACGCTTGTGCACCACCCAGTGCTGTATCCACACCAATCTTGAAATCATCATTCCCAAGATTCGGTGGAACCACCGCGATCATCTTCGGCACAGCGCCCCCACTCCCAGCGCTCCCTGCACCATCCAGTGACGGATTCGGCGCACCACGCTCGGTATACAGCTGCGGACGATCAAACGGGAATGTCTCATTGAGCACACGCGGATCAGTTAAACCATTCTGAATGAAGTCTCGAACCGCGGCATTCCCTGCACCGAAATCGATCGAACCGAAGTTGTCAAGATTCTCAAAGAACGGCCCGAACCCATTGCGACGAGCGTAGAAGTCCAAGATCTCATCAACATCCGCAAGCCCGCCGTTGTGCATCATCCGATTGCGCAGTCCCGCGTTGCGGATCGAAGGCGTGCGGAATCTCCCACGATCCGAGAAGCTCCCAGTGACTTCCATTCGCCCAGTGTCTTCATGCGGAGGACGGATCCCATCAACAAAGAAGTCCGAGTTCGCGAAGGTCGGACTCGGATGACAGAAAGTACACGACGAGTTCTGCATCAGCGTGAAACCCTGAATCTGCTGTGGAGTCATCGCGTTCTGGTCACCGCTGTTCCACAAATCCCAAGGCGTTTCATCGGGAACAAGCGTGCGCTGATAGGTCGCCATCGCATATGCGATCCGCACCGCGTTGATTGCTGGATCACCAAACGCTGCTTCAAAGAGCTCCGGATATGTCGGATCCACATCCAGCGCCGCCTGCATGTCTGCAGGGAGATCACTCGCCAGCGCCATCGGACGCGCATTGGTCAGCTTCTCACGCACCTGATCCCAGGTCCGGCCGGCATGCGACATCTCGTCAGTGCTCAAAATCGGAACCAGTGCTTGGATTTCAAGACCACCAACACCAGACTGGAACACTACCTCGCCGCTCTCCGGATCGACAAACTCAAACTCGGCGCGCCCATCCCAGAAAAGGTTCGCTTGATACATCGCCATCAGGTTCGTCTGCGCTACGCGCCGAGTCACCTGTGGTTCTAGACCAAACAACTCGCTGCGAAGATACTGATCCATCTCATCGGACTTGATCACGCCTGGAGATCCGAGCACATCATCATCCGTGTTGAACACGCCGTCGAATCCAGGATGACGCCCGATCCGAGGATCCGCGCCACCACTCGAAGGGATATGACATGTCCCGCAAGAAATGGTATTGTCCGAGGAGAGTTGCTCTTCCCAGAACAAAATCTTCCCGAGCACACGCTTCGCTTCTGTCGGAGGATTCTGGAACGGAGCGCTCGGTGTCCACAAAGGCGGATCCATCATCGGACGCGCCAGCTCAAGATCCTGAAGACCATCCGCTTCAAACTCCATGTGATCAACCACTGTCGGTACAGACTTCGCATCCTGCGCCATTAGCGGTGCAGTAAGCAAAGCAATGGATCCAGACAGTAAAGCCAAACGAGTGGAACTTGAAGCAATCATCATCGAGAGATCTCCTGTGTAACTGTCCGGAACTCTATCCCAATCCTTATTTCTGCGTATACAGAATCAAAATCGAGCTTTATGGGCAACCCTTCGCGTATGCCGCGAGGAATGCTGACACATCAAGGAAGTTAAAGCTCCCATCAGGTTCAAAGTCCGCGACCGGATCGCTCGCTGAAAATGCACCCAAGAAATCGGACACATCGAGGAAGTTGAGCATGCCGTCCATCGTCAGGTCCGCAGGACACGCTTCGACACATTCGGTCGAACCCGGACCGAACCAGTCGCCGCCAACGATGTTGCATGTAAACGCATCGAACTGTGTGCACGCACCAGTCGCCGGGATGAAACAGGCGCCCAAGCACTGGATCGAATCGCACGCTGTCCCTGGACCGCTCCAGACACCACCGAGCATGACCGCTTCTGCTTCGGTTAAGCCGTCCATGCACGAGCCGTCTTGCATACACGCGGCGCCGACTTGTTCACCGCTGCACTCAACGATCGCACGGATAATCCAATCACCGCTGACATTGAGTGATTCTGAAGAGCGCCATTGACCGCTCGAAATCCGCACCGCGTTTTTGTTGGGAGTGATCCCTGAATCATCGAACAAAACACTCGGACCAGTAAGCGTTGAGTCATTAAAGAACTTGAGCGACAACACGAACTCCTCGTTCGCGCTCACTGGGATATTAATCGGGATCGTTTGGTTCTCGTCCTCGAAACGGAACTCGTTGAGTCCACCATCCTGCAGCGCCGGCGCAAGCAGTTCTTCCTTCACTGGACCCGGATTCGGGAAGTTCCCACCCTCGTACACGATGATCGAATCTTCAAGCGAGATCGGTGATCCGCCGAGCAGTGATCTCCAGAAAATCTGGAATCCCACAATCGCACCATCACAAGGCGAAGTCAGCCAAACCGCGGCTTCCTCTCCAGCAACAAAGCAAGGACACACCGTCGCGTTGTCGCCCGCCATCAGACTGTCGTTCTGAAGAACAATCTCATCACCAGCCATGCCGCTTGTCGCAACAACACCAATCAACGCACACACAGAGGATTTTAAAAAACGCATCGAGCACTCCCTCGGCCCACAAAGACCAAAAACACCATAAACGCGCCTTCATAGGCACGAATCCCCGATTCAGTGTACCAGAATCACCCCTCAACGCGAGACAATTCTGTGCGATTCGCCGTCTCGACCCAATCACTATCGGACCCAAAACAACGCGGATTCGCTCAACACCGCACCCCACATACGCACCAGCAGCATGATCGGATGTCATACACTCTGTACAATTACGCCCTGACCAGCACAGAATGAGCACCCCAAAGCAGTTATGAGTGATCCCAAGACCAAGCACCCCGAAACCGTCCCTTTCTATGTCGTCGAGGACATCGAGACGATGCTTTCACTCTCGAACCCTGTCCGCTGGGAGATCCTCGACACCATCGGCGCTATTGGGGAATGCTCAGCCGCCGACATCGCGCAGTACACCGCTCGAGCTCGGACCTCGCTCTATCCACACATTCAGCAGCTCGTCGAAGTCGGACTCATCTACGAGACCGGCACAAGGCTCATGGGCAAACGCTACGAACAACTCTACAGACCCAAAGCACGGCTCATCGGGATCCGATTCGATCAAGAAGATCCAGCGAATCTCGACTACCACACCACCTTCGCCAATGCGCTCGCACGCATGCTCGCGCGCCGGCACGATCAAGCCGCCCGCGCTCCGGGAGTCAACCCGCGCACCGAGAACCGAAACCATCACTGCGGCTCACACAGCGTGTGGGTCGACAAAGATCAGCTTATCAAACTCAACAAGATGATCGAGGACATCTGGAAGTTCTGCGAGAACTCCAAGCCCGGAGATGACAAGCAGCTCATGCACATCGGGATGTTTCTTACGCGACATGTGCCCAAGGACAAATAATCGCAGCCTTACGGACACCCTTCTCCGAATGCTTTGAGAAACGCGCTGACATCCAGAAAGTTGAAGCTCCCATCCGCCTCAAAGTCCGCGATCGAGTCCATGTTGCCGTAAGCCGCAAGGAACGCGGAGACATCGAGGAAGTTGAGATCCCCTTCCCCAGTCAGGTCCGGTGCACATCCCATCACTGGCGTCGCGACAAACACCCCGATCGTGCCATTGCGCAAGAACGCCGCAAACGCAACCTGTCCGTTGTCGTTGATGTCCACCACGCCGTTGGTAACCTGCTTGCCCGTCAATCCGCCAAAGTCAAAGCCCAACGGAAGCGGTCCAAGATCGGTCTCGATCATCTGATCAAACTCGATCAGCTTGACCAGATTCTCGCCGTCTCCCACCCAGAGCGCTGTGGAGTCAAAGGTCGTATCAGTCGCGCGGAACGCGACCCAACGATCACTGTTCGCGACTGGAGGGAAGTTAACCAAAGACGAGTTGTCGATCGTCTCGTCGTCCCCGCTCGCGATCGTCGTGGTCGATGTCCCATCAGAAACCAGCACCTCCCAGATCGAGTCCGCCGAGCGCCGCGCCGAGAACGCGACGTCCCCGCTCTGCGCGATCCCGACAGAGTTCACAAACGAACTCCACATCCCGCCGGTCTCTGCGATCGTTGTGCTGCTCAGATCAGGTTCCACACGCACGATCCGGCGTGAAGGACCGCTCGTCGGGATCGAGTTAAACACCACCTGACGCGCATCATTGATCTCAGGCGCCAGCAGGAATGAGTACTCGGCGCCTGTTTGTGCGACCAGAGTCTGAGTCCGCATCGGGACAAACTCATCGATCACGATCTTGTCGCTCGTGAATCCGAAGTCCCCTCGATAGCAGATCGCACCGTCGCTCGTCACTGTGACCCCTGAGAATCCAGACACACCCTCGCTCCCACCAGCGTTGAATGTCTGCACCAGATTCCCTTTGGTGTCGTAGAGCCACGCGCCGTCATCGAATGAACCTTGCTCCGCCGCGATCAATCCAGCGCGCGCTTCGACCGTGGTTCCCCAGATCGGATCCGCGTTGAATCCCGTTACGACGAGCCCACCAACCCCGTCCTTGCCATAAAAGATCCCCTCGCTCGGATTCCCCGAAAGAAACACGCGTATCGCGACCCCGCCGTCGTCATCAATCGAGACATACTGCGAAGAGAGCGACGAGAACTGAGGCAGATTAAACGCCGGGATCGCGGCATCCAAACTCGATCGGCACTGCAACTCAATCGTCCACTCCTGAGGCACCTGCGCGGGTGCTATCCCGGCAGCAGCACACAACACCACTCCAATCGCTCGCGACCTCATCATCTCACACACTCCATCATTTCAACTCGCTTGTCATCCACAGCAAGACCGGCACCGCCGGACACACCACGATCCTACACGACCACTCCAGAACCACAAAGCAAAAACAGGATGATCCATCAAGCTTTCCCGACCAGATCCTCGTTGGTCTCAAAGCGAGCGAGCGCCGCGAGCAACTGCTCAACCTGTTGTGGAGGGGGCATGTTCATCATCCGACGACGCAGCGCCGTGATCGTTTTCAAAGGCTCCGCCGCGATCAGCTTGTCCTCTTTGCGAGTACCGCTCGCCGCGAGATTAATCGCCGGGAACAACCGCTTCTCCGCGATGCGCCGATCCAGGATCAGCTCCATGTTCCCCGTCCCCTTGAACTCTTCGAAGATCACCTGATCCCCCTGCGATCCTGTGTCCACAAGACACGTTGCGATCATCGTGAGCGAGCCGCCCTCTTCCGTGTTGCGCGCCGCGCCGAAGATTTTCTTGGGAACATCGAGCGCCTTGGAGTCGATCCCCCCCGACATCGTGCGTCCGGAGTTTGCGTGCTTGCCCGATCGGTTGAATGCGCGTCCGAGTCTTGTGAGCGAGTCGAGCACAACGACGACGTGCTCGCCGTTCTCGACCATCATCTTGCACTTCTCGAGCGTCTGCATCGAGATCTCGATATGCCGTTTCACATCGTGGTCGTTACTCGACGCGATGATCTCGATCCGATCCTTCGCCCAAGGCTTGTCCCACTCCGCGTCCCCATCACGCTGCGCCACAGTCCCAAGGAACGCACGCGTGAAATCCGTCACCTCTTCCGGACGCTCATCGATCAGCAGCGCGATCACCTTCACATCCGGATGATTGATCAGAATCCCCGTCGTGATGTCCTTGAGCAGCGTCGTCTTCCCCGCCTTTGGAGGAGACACGATCATCCCGCGCTGTCCTCGCCCAATCGGACAGAATAAATCCACCAATCGACACGCCGGAGGACACCCCGGATACTCCAGATTCAGGATCGGCTCCGGATCAATCGAGGTCAGGTCATCGAAGGTCTTGCGATTGGCAAACTCCTCCGGAGTCATCCCCTCGATGCTCACGAACCGCTCGACCACAGGACGCGCCTCGCGCGGCCCGCTGCTCCCGCGACGGTTTTTCCCGCGTCGGCGTCGACGAGGCTTCTTCATCTCCACCTCGACCTCAACGCGCAAGCCGTCACGCAACGGGAGTTCTTCGCCAAAGCGGACAGGGACGAACGGATCGTCCTTGATCTCAGCGTCTTCGTGCTTCGCGACTGCGCCATCAATCCGCACGCGACCCTCGGTCCGCGTTGGCCATTCCAGAATGCCTGTGAGCATGGTCATCAATTCCACGATTCATGTGTTTGCCGCTCATCACAAGCAGCACTCAACCAATTCCTGTGAACCGATGCCACACTCGCACCGCTTCAACAATCATTGTGTCTCAAACAGAGATCCAGATTCGGGGGCAAAACTCGTCGCCTCGCGCAAATCTAAGATCACAACGCACAGAGCATCTATGCCCGCACGCATACAAGTATAGTCCATGATCCGCTCACGCGTGTCAAGCACCCACCCCATCGTCCGATATCTAGACCGATATCCGGATTCCACCTCGGAACCTTACAAAGAAACAATTACTATCCAAGCACCCTCAGCGCTAAGATCATCCCCGTTCCATCACCCCTCCGAGCGCTCAGAAGCATGATCCGCACCGCAGGCATCCCGGTCTCCAAAGGTCTCGTCATCGGACGCGTCTATCTGCTTGAGCAAGACCGCTCCCTCCGCGTCGGACGCCAGACCATCGCTCCCGAAGATGCGCCGGCACAGCTCGAACGCTTTGAACTGGCGCGGAGAGCCGCGATCGCGGACCTCGACGCGCTCCACGAAGAATCCACAGGCGAGATGGGCGAGGAAGCCGCCAAAATCTTCCTCTTCCACATCGGCGCATTGAATGATCCAACGATCCTCAATCCGATCCGCACGCTCATCGAGACCGAGCATGTCACCCCAGAGTTCGCCACAAGCTCGACGCTCAAGAAGCTCGCCGATCGCTTCGCCAAACACCCCGACTCAACTTTCCAGTCCAAAGTGGACGACCTGCGTGACCTCGCGTCACGCTTGCTTTCCAAGCTCTCCGGAAAGTCCGCCGCGACGCTCGCGAAAGTCGCTGAGAACACCGTCATCGTCGCGCGCGATCTGACCCCGACCCAGACCGCTGGTTTCAACCGCGAGCATGTCACCGGCTTCGTCACCGATCTCGGCGGACGCACATCCCACACCGCGATCGTCGCCGGCGCACTCTCGCTCCCAGCAGTCGTCGGCGCCAAAAACATCACCGCACGTGCTCGCGACGGACAAACCATCATCGTCGATGGTTCCAAAGGCACCATCATCCTCGATCCCGATGCCGACACCATCCAGGAATACAAGGAACGCATCAAAGCCGCCGAGCAAACACGGATCTCACTCCACGAGCTCGCGGACCTCCCCGCGATCACGACAGACGGCGTAGAAATCGAGCTGCTGGGAAACATCGAGTTCGCTGAAGAAATCGACACACTCCTCAACGAAGGTGGGCTCGGTGTCGGTCTCTATCGCACCGAGTTCCTCTATCTCACCGGACAAAACGCTCCAACTGAAGAGGATCATTTCAACGAATACGCCCAGTGCATCCGCATGCTCGAGGGCAGACCGCTCACCATCCGTACCGTCGACCTCGGGGCCGACAAATACACCCAGCATCAAGAAGAAACACCGGAGCGCAACCCCTTCTTGGGACTCCGTTCCATCCGCTACTCGCTCTCCAACCAACGAATGTTCCGGACTCAGCTCCGCGCCATTCTCCGAGCAAGCGCCTTCGGCCCCGTCAAAATCATGTTCCCCCTCATCACCAACATCGCCGAGTTCAGATCCGCGAAGTACTTCCTCCACGAGGAAATGGAAGAGCTCGCCGAGGAGGGGATCAAATACAACCCGAACATCGAGGTCGGGATGATGGTCGAGGTCCCCGCCGCAGCACTCATGGCTTCCGCCTTTGCGCGAGAAGTCGACTTTTTCTCGGTCGGTACCAATGACCTGGTTCAGTACACCCTCGCCGTGGACCGAACCAATGAGAGGGTCGCGTCGTTGTATACACCGATCCACCCCGCCGTCCTCCGGCTCGTCCGCGATGTCGCAAGAGCGGGAAGAAAGCGGGATATCCCAGTATCGTGCTGTGGACAATCCGCCGCCGACCCAGCATTCGCCGCATTGCTGATCGGCCTCGGCGTGCGTACCCTCTCTGTGACGGCATCGAGCCTCCCGCTGGTCAAAAGGACCATCCGAGCACTCGACGCCAGCAGATGCGAACGGATCGTCAAACGCGCGATCGGGTTCGATTCAGAAGCCGAAGCATCGAGCTATGTGCTCAATCGGCTGAAAAAGATAGTCCCAGAGGTCTTCGACGGTCGTCCCGTCGCCTGACCTCCGACAAAGACCACGCGCCGTGTGCACAACCGCGCCAGCCGGATCTCGCTCCGCGACTCGTACCGCTCATCAGAGCAACGAGCAACCGCGGCTACAAGCAATCCGCAACGCAAGACACGCACCGCGCACAACCAGTCTGCGAGCGAAGTGCTTTGGAAAACCGCACGCGCCTGACCATCCAAACGATCACAAGCGCCCCAGCGCACCACCCCGCCGTGTCTACTCTCGGCTCAGCGATCACACGGACCAGCGCCCACGCGACATCCATTGCACGCTCCACGATGACCCAGGAACCAAGCAATGACCGACGATGCCAAAGCATCCAATGATGCCGCGAATGAATCCGTAAACGAAGATTCGACCAACACCGAATCCACCACGAAAAAGAAAACCTCCAAGAAAAAGACCTCGAAGAAAACAACAAAGAAACCCGCCGCTAAAAAAACGACCAAGAAGACTGCTAAGAAAACAACCAAGAAGACCACCAAGAAAAAGGTCTCCAAGAAGACGGCCAAGAAGGTCGCCGCCAAGGACGACGCCGAAGAGCCAGCTGCTGAATCGATCGAACCAGCAACCGAGGAATCCAGCGCCGACGAGTCGTCGTCTGAAACGACCAAAAAGACAAAGAAAAAGACCTCCAAACGCACCACCAAGAAGACCAGCAAAGCGTCTTCAAAGCCAGCAGCGAAATCCAAGAAGGACGAAAAGCGCCCATACACCGAGATGGTCGTCAACTATGTCCCAGGCGAGGACTGCCGCATCGCAATCCTCGAAGACGGACAACTCGAAGATGTCTTCTCCGAGCACACCAACCGAGTCTCACGCGTCAACAACATCTATGTCGGACGCGTCGCCAATGTTGAACCATCCATCCAAGCCGCGTTCATCGACTTCGGAACCGAACTCAACGGCTTCCTCCATATCTCCGACATCCACCCCCAGTACTTCGCCAAAGGTGACGACAAAACCGAACGCGTCGGGAAGAAAACCCCCCACCGCGAGCGCCCACCGATCCAAGACTGCCTCAAGAAAGGGCAAGAGATCATCGTCCAGGTCCTCAAAGAAGGCGTAGGAACCAAAGGCCCGTCCCTCACCTCCTACCTCTCCATCCCGGGACGCTTCCTCGTCATGATGCCGGGGATGGACAAGGTCGGCGTCTCACGCAAAGAAGAAGACGACGACAAACGCAAAGCCGCCAAAACAATCCTCAACACCCTCGACCTCCCCGATGGGTTCGGATTCATCCTGCGCACAGCAGGGTTTGATCGCAACAAGACCGAGCTCAAGCGCGACCTCGCGTACCTCAACCGACTCTGGGCCGACATGGAGAAACGCCGCAAGTCAGGGAAGAAACCACGCCTGCTCTACTCCGAGTCCGACCTCCTCGTCCGCACTGTCCGTGATCTGCTGTCTTCGGATGTGGACCGCGTCGTCATCGATTCAGAAGCGGCGCTCAAACGCGTCGGACGATTCGTCAAGATCGCGGCGCCGCGCTCACACGCAAAGCTCGCGCACTATGTCGGATCACTCCCGATATTCCACGCGTTCGATATCGAGCGCCAGATCGAAGAGATCCACGCGCGCGAGGTCCACCTCCCATCCGGAGGCCGTCTCGTCATCGACCAGACCGAAGCCCTCGTCGCGATCGATGTGAACTCCGGGAAATCCCGCAGCGCCAAGGACGCGGAAACCAATGCGTATAAAACCAATGTCGAAGCCGTAGACGCGATCTGCCGCCAGCTCCGTCTCCGCGACCTTGGGGGACTTGTCGTCAACGACATGATCGACATGCGCCACGCCTCGCACCGCAAGGACATCGAGAACCGATTCAAGGAGCGACTCAAACGCGACCGCGCCAAAACCACCGTAGCCCCGATCTCCCCCTTCGGACTCCTCGAGATGACCCGCCAGCGCATGCGTGGATCAATGGAGTCCCAGCACTTCGCCGACTGCCCGACCTGCCGGGGACGAGGACTCGTCCAGCGTCCAGGATCGGTCGCTGATTCGGCGCTCCGCGATCTCGCGTCACTCATCGATCACAAAAAGGTCCACCGTGCCGAGCTCGTCGTGCACCCACGCGTCGCGTCCGAGCTCCTCTCGACGCGCCGCTCCTCGCTCATCCGCGTCGAGCTCTCCGCCGGGAAAGCGGTCGACGTCCGCGTGTCCGACTCGCTCCCGATGGACCGCTTCGCGCTCTACGCCTACGAGTCCAACGGCAACGACATCGAAACCGAATCACTCATCAAGAAAACCCCACCCAAACCCAAAGTCGTCGATTGGGTGGACGCGAACTCCGACGACACCAGCTGGGCCGTGGATATGCTCGAAGAGAGCGACGAGTCCACCGTGCTCAAGCTCGCCGAGGACTTCGCCAAGAAAGCGGAACAAGTCGAGCAAGCAGACCTCCCGATCGACGACTCCAAACCCCTCGAACTCGACCCCGAATCCGACGGCGAACCCAAGAAGAAAAAACGCCGTCGCCGTCGTCGAGGTCGCGGCAAGTCCGAATCCACCGAAGCGACCGACACACAATCAAACGAGGACGCGCCATCCGAATCCCATGAGCCCAAAGCCGACGAACAAGAGTCGTCACCAGAGGATTCCGACGCGCCCAAGAAGAAGCGCCGCCGTCGCCGCCGAGGCCGCAAGTCCGATTCCGACGAGTCAAAGACCGACAACAACTCAGAGAATAAATCGGACAGCAACTCCTCAGACAAGCCCGACCCCATCGCCGAGCCCAAGCCACCCAAGCCCCGCCGCCGAGGTTTGTACTCCGGTGGTCGCCGCAAGCTCACCAGCGCCGAGGTCGCCGCGATCGATCGGGATATTTAACGCCAACCTTGTAATGAGCACGCACCGATGATGCATCG